GAATCCTAGTGGTCCTAGTAAATGGCTCATCTTCTCGGTGTCTGACTTGCTACGGCAAGGATCCATGATAGGCCCTGATGTTGACCCCGGACGGAAGTAGAACCGCAGATCCAGTAATTACTCATCAACCAAGGAACCAAGTTTTGCTAAGCCTCGGTCTCCAACTCTCCTTTGCAGATTAAGATTCCTGATTCCCTCCCTCGCTTTTAATCGAGAGAGCGCAAATGATATCCTTCTGCGGGGAGCCAAGCATAGTATCTTCCTAATTTATGGCGAGCTCACCTGGCGGTATAACAAGCTCACCACGGTAAATATCCTTTACTCGGGGACTCTTCTTATTCAGGTTTTAGAGTTATTGTAAATGTTGCAGATAAAGTGCGTGAGCATCTTTTTGTCAGGAACCATGTTCGATGTTCCGCATCAACTTGAAGGGAGCAGGTGAATCGAGGGTCGTTCCACTTTTTGCAACCCAAGGGAATCCTTTCGTTTCCGCCTCAGGAAATAGTTTGCATTTCAAGGCCGTACATACCCCAAAAACCATCCCTACATAACGTCTATAGGCGTGGTACGCCCATTTGGGGTATGAAAGTCGGCGTATAGAAAATATAAACCAACATCAGAATCATGTTGTTTCGGATTTTCCTCATAGTTTGGTAAAGATGTTGTTGCGATACTGGTAGTCATTGGGGTTGGAATGAGGGCCCCCTGGTGTGAGAGTTCCAAACCATTAACATTGTCCCATGCCATCTGCCCACACCTTGGGCTTTCCACAATCCGGATTGAGGGCCACTCTTGGCACACAGGCAGAAAGCTCGGAATGATGTCCAATCCAAATTTGGAAACCAAACTAAGATCTTTAAGATGGAACATTGCAGCCCGGAGAGTGAAAGGTAACAGGCTCACATCCTGCGCGGCCAAACAAGTCTTGTTTTTTTGCTTACCACGAACATGGTCTTCCCAAAAAGTAGAAAGTCCAGGAACTCAGGAGCTACAGTGGCTTTCTCCATGATCATGGCTTCGAACTCCTGATCAGGGGGGCCCCACACCTTCGTGCCACTCTGTGCTTCCCCAAAGCTGCAATATCCCGGTGACGGCAAACTTAAGATTGCGCCAAGACATAAACACCCGCACACACGCATGCAGATAAAAAGGGCTTGGAATTCTAAAACAAGCGAACAATTCACTTGCAGGCATGTTTTGGGGTGTTCCAGCCCCCCAACCTCCAACCTTGCCCTTCTCCCCCCCCTCCCCCCCACTCTCCCCGAGCAGCTTGCTCCAGTTTTTGCCGGCTGGCTCGCGAGTCGCGCGCGCGGGTCGCGCACGCGAGCGCGCGGGATGTCGAGGTGGCCACCAGCGAGCGGGAGATGCTCACGGTGCAGGACTGCCTGGAGCGCCACGAGGACGACCGAAGAGTCCGAACGTCCGAAGCGCGGCCCGGGGGGAAACCCCAAGGCAAAATATGTGTCCTATTTTAGGTGATCCTGGTTAAAAGTATGGGTTTTGTTCCATTTGCCACGGGAACCCATCTATTTTTCCAAAAGGCCACCGATGCAAGGCACCCAGTCAGGTTCGGTAGAGAAGGTGCTCTTTGTCCGATGGGAAGTCCAGCCAGAAAAACAGCGGTGCGATTGGTTGCCCACTAGGTTGGGATGTGTTGGGAGCAGAATCCCTCAAATGGGGTTTGGCGCCCTTTGATTAGTTGGGTCGCAAGTGGGTCACAACCCCCTATTGTGTGGACGATCCCCACCCGCCCTTAGACTTTCAGACTGACTGTGCAAAGCTCTTCACTGGCGCCCATGTTTTGTAGCTGCTGTTGTTCCCGGCCGGACTGTCCTGCTAACCTTTGCTTTTGAGCATTGCTGGGTGGTAGACATGCTCCAGCTCGAGCAACCAAGGGAGAGATGGGCAAGTTTACGGTAGATGCCCCTGCTGCAATGAAACCAGACGAAAAGCGCCCAACACCATGATAAGTCGCGAACATTTCAAGGGTTTCCTTGCTTCCTGACTTGCAATATTTATCGCATCCACTGTGTTGTGCACTGATTGATTCAAAATATGTTTAACAAAAGACCGTTTGCCAATGTAGTTTTTCTTGGTTGAGTCCCCCCCACCTTGGCGAGACTGGCCCATGTTATGGAATCACAGCTGGGGCCATTAGTCATTTGAAGGCTCTCAGGATATGCCTTTGTCACGCCCCTGGCTAGCTGGCTGGCTGGCTGGCTGGCTGGCTGGCTGGCTGGCTGGCTGGCTGGCTGGCTTGCTTGCTTGCTTGCTTGCTTGCTTGCTTGCTTGCTTGCTTGCTTGCTTGCTTGAGAGTGGCAGTGTCCACTGGTTAGCCCGGGGGGGGGGGGGGGCAAAAGGCCTTTGCATAGGAACGAACCACAGAAAATTTGCAAAGCACCAGCTTCCTAAGTGTGTGGACTTTATACTTTTTGGTATGGCCATTTTAGTGGAAAGCACTTGTTTTGACTTTTTTCTGGCCAATCCACTCAGGAAGTGAGGGCATTTGCCGGACTGCCCCTTTAATCGCGATGAGTTTTAGACGAATTTCCCTGCCGTTCAGCAGCCTTTTCGATTTAGTTGTCCAAAGCAATTCGACCTTAACCTCAGTTATTGGGTTTCCCTTTTGGCCCATGTTCAGCATTCAAAGGGTTGGGTTGCAGGAAATTCTACAGGAAACCAGTGAAATTAGGGTGATTTGGGGCGATTTGGGGCCATTTCCGGTAGATTGTCCTGTAAGTTAGCCCGTTGAAACATCCGTTTTGGGTTTCCCATGCTCAGCAGGATCCCTCAAAGGATGCACCTTCACCAGCGAATTGAGAGGCTTCGCTTGTAAAGCAGTTGTGGAGGATCTCGCCTTGGTTCTTGCAGTCTAGATCTTCTCAGACTCTTTTCTTGGAAATATGTAGAACATGTACTGGACTCACAGTGATCCCGGCATGGCAAACTGGTTTCCTTGGTGTCAAAAGACCACCCCCCGGGTTTCCTTTGGAGTCGTTTGGACACTGGACGTGTTCCCCGAAAGGAGCGCCTGGCTTGCCAGAGCCGCGCCAGCGAGTCTCTGGAGCGGAGACGGGGAGGATTTGGTGAGAACCGGGACAAAAACTCCACGCCGATCGGCGCCAATCGGTGAGCATAGGTGTCCTATTTACGTGAGCCTGGTGAAAAATAGATGGGTTCCACTGGTTTAGATGGGGTTTATTCCATTTACCAGGGGAACCCATCTATTTTTCCAAAAGGCCACCTATGTTGGTGAGTGGGTATTGGGAGTTCATCCATCCCAACTGGTGCGAAGTGTGTGTTTGTCCACAAAGTTGGAAGTTCTGGGGCAAATGGTCCAGGGTTCTGCTCTTTCGAGGTAAAGCTCTTTGCTTGTGTTGCTTCCCTCATGGTGCTCACCTTTGACGAGCAACCGTTCAATCTGACTTGTTGCAGGGTTCGGATCCTTTGTGCGGCTTCCATTAGCCCCATGCATAAGCCTCATGTAAGCATCGCGGACGTGCAGAAGGGTGCCGGAAGAAGACCCATCACGTTCCATAGGCCTCTCCGGTGCAGTTGTGATTGTTGAACAGGGGGTAAACTTCGTTCGTTGCCAGACTTGACTGGCCCTTTGCCCTTTGGCCCAAGTTGGGTGTCCCTCTTGTGACACCTTAAGCCAGTGCTGCAACTCCCTTTTCATGTCCTCTTGACATGCTACCTTCTGAAGGGGGCAGATTCCTGTTTATGAAAGACAACCCCCGGTGTGCACGCTTGCGGTTCAGCGGGTCAACGGATTTTCACAGGATTGGCCTCCGAAGACCCTATGGAACAAATGACCGCCCCCCAAATTTACTTGGACTTGTGGGACAAGCTAAACCGACAAGCGTGGGTCCTGCCTACGTTATGGCGAGCTCACCATGCGGAAGGGCAAAACGAGATCGCAATGATGTAGGTCCTTTACTTCTTTATTGCATGTTGCCAAGGGATGTTAGGACTTCAACTTTTTGCCAACTAGTGGGTTTTCCGAATTACACCACTAAAACTTAGTCACTTCTAGCAGGGCTTCGCAGAAAGAAACCGAGTACTTGTACTTCAGGGCTCCTTAAAATATACATTTTACCCATTTGAAACATTGCTTTTTCCACCAACATAAAGGGAAACCACCATTTACAAGGCAACGTTCAGGTGTATAATGTAAGGATCCCTGTGCTTGTTTGAAGTTTTGCAATTATTCTACAAGTTGCAAAAATGGGTGCTCCAGAGGCGCTCAGGAAGGACACTCACCAAGTCTGGGCAGACTCCCTGACTTTTTGTTCGGAAACCTGGAAACCAAAGGACTATCATGTATTAGAACGTTTTGTTAGAGCCAAAAAAATGTTTGTTAAAACCAACAAATCAATTACCACACCCTAAAACCATATTGTTGGTGACAATCAGTTTGTTAGAAACCGTTCTAGGGTCACTTGAATTACTGATCCAAATGCAAGTCCACCTCTGTGTGTACGACTTACCGATGGTGCGCCGGAGAGAGAAATGATTTGGATGGTTTCCCAGTTTGTACAGTTTCGAACTTTGAGATGTCCAACGCGCAGCAGGAATTTGTGTTCGGGCTGGACTGCGGCCTAAGTCTGTAATGTTCCAAATGAGTGTTTCTCAAAATTGAGGGAATCCCCGCCTGCAAAAACAAAACAGAGCAGAGTTTAGATTCCCTATGGCTTCCGTTCCGCTTCCAAAACAACAACCACCCCAACCCATATCGAGTCTGTCTTTTTGCTGGGGTTGCTTCAAAGGAAAACCAAAGGGATTCTTTTTGGGGGGACTGATTCTTATTTTTAGACATACCCGTACGCTGGGATGGTAGGATATGGTAGAATTTTCCGGAACGAGTGCCAGGAGCAACAGCTCCAGCATGCTGCCGCTTCGATCAAGGACATCGAAAAGGAGGCCGGGGGCTCAAGCGAGCCGTGGCCATTGCTACCTTAGGGCATCAAGGCTTGACTGCTATTGGGTTGGATCTTTAGACTTTAACTTGTTGGGAAAGCAAGTTGGGGTTTTCACTAAACCCGCCAAAAGTTAAACTTTTTGCAGAGGGATCAGCAGCAACCAAGCAGGCTACATTTGGGGCAAATCAGATGTCCCACTTTCTCAGGGTCCGTGGATTCGGTTCCTTGGTGGAATTATGCTACCGGAACCCTATCCAAAACCACAAGCTCGACCTCCGACATTTATTTATTTGTTTAAAAAACAGAAGCTCCAGTTCAAAGGAAATGGGTCCAAAGCACCTGGGCGCATTTCCCCACCCCCCCACGTCAACTTTGTTGCATTTTGCCAAGGGATGTGAGGACTTTCACCTTTGTTTTTGGCAACAAACGTGGGTTTTCCGACTTAAACCACAAAGTTTTAGCAGGACTTCGCAGAAAGCAACCAAGTTTCGTTTTTTGGTGGCTGCACTAAAGTCACTAAAGATGGTGGTCCCAAACAGGGTTCCCTTTTTTTTTCTAGGTCCCAAGTGAATTTCTCGGTCCCCTCGTTCTGGGCCGCGCTTCGTTCCTTTCCCCCCGGCCGCTCTGGAGGCCTTCCTGGAGCGCCGCGAGCTGCGACGCCTGGCCGACGAGGTGACGTCCCATGGCCCGGTGGCCTTACAGCGGGCGGGGTCCCAACACCCGGGGAGTCCCGGGCTCCCCCCCAAACCGGGGCTCACCAGGGCTCCAAGCTTTGCGCGCAGGCGGTGGCTACCTAAATCTAAAGCAAGTGGGTTGGGAATCAACTAGGTCCCCCCAGTAGTGCCCTTTTACCCTTTTTTGGCGGAGGTTTCCCTACTAAAAAAGACTACAGAAAAAGGGTACCCTTATTCTAACCTTTCTACTGGAGGACCTAGTTTTGATTGCCCCAAGATAGACTCAAACCCGGGGGTCCTCCTTGTGGGCCCCTGGGTTGAAGTCTCACTTGGGTTAATCAAGAAGTGGAGCCCTGCCCCAAACCTCTACACACATGTCTTTCTTTTTGGGGTTTCTATGTCATGATGGTTTATCACTGTACATGTGTCTTTTGTTGGGTTACACAGATGTGATTCTATGTCATCATGGTTTCTTTGGGATATGTCGTGAAGGTGTATTACTGTAAACCGGCCAGCTGGCTTTCTTGACAGGATTTGGTTTGTTCCCAAGAATCCTGATTAGTTGCTCGGTTGTCTCACAATATGGGGGCTTCTCGTCAACTAGGTGGGTTCTTTTTGGCTTTCTGAAGAAAGCTGCCTCAACGGCACACGTTCTGGCTTCTACACGTTCTTGCGGACGGCGTGACGGTGCACACCTGAAGATTGCAGGCACAGGACGGTGTGCTGCGAACTGGACGCTGTGCAAAGCGGACGCTGTGGTGCAGATGTTTGTTTCTGAAGATGGCGGCCGCACGGTGCAGGCATTCATGGCAGCCTCAGAAAAAAGACCCCCCCCTTCCGCAGTAGGCCTAAAGGAAAGTCCCCTGGCCGTCAGACCAGCTTCACTCCTCAAACTCTTGCTGACTTCCTATCGAGAACCACGAAGAGTGTTTACCAATTTCATGCCGGCATCTGGGAATGTGCGGGGAGTCTGGGAATGCGAGGGGATGGACATGTATTTTAACATGTTGCCCCCATATCCCCCCCGTCTTGACGCCTGGAATTGGAGGACCCCCCACTCCCTTCTGCCAGGTAGGGAGGATGCCCCCATCGTCATGACTTGATCTCATTTTACAGAATTTGTCAACCCATTGTAGGCTCTCACGTTGAAGCTTATCAGTTCTCCCAGTGCATGTGATTTCAAGGTTTGCCGAGGGGCAGATTTTGGGGTTGCGACCTCACCCATGAAGGCTTTTGGCATGGAAAGCCGGAAGTTGGGAGGCCCAAGAATGAAAGGTTTCACCAACGCCGTAAGGACAAGCAAAGGAGAAACATAGGGATCCATGAGTGGTGAAGAGGCCCTCAAGAAGGCTTAACTGGCAAGTTTTGCTTGGGATTTAGTCTAGGGTTCGCTGGGGCGATCCTTGAGAAATGATTTGTGTGCGTTTTGCTTCCATTTAAACACCAAGCCAAAGGAGGCTTCGCCATTTTCAGAAACCCCTTGGCCTGCTTCCAGAGTCAGGGTGCTACCCCTTCTGGTAAGCTGCTGATGTCTCCTGGTCTTACCAGGCTGCCCTTCAGAACTTTCAGGGGCTAAGGGGGGCGCCTGATGTGGAAAGGGAGAAAATGGCGAAAAGAGGCGAATTGCGGGGGCGCAACGCAACCAGACAGCCCCAAGACTCTAAGACCGATTGTTGGGTGGAGGGATGGGTGATGATCGCACCCGAGGCAAGCAGATTGAAGCGACATGCCTGGAGGCCACAGAGCAAGCGAAGGCGAAGCCGCTGCCTGTCACGGGGCTGGTGTCCAGAGGTGCCCAGCAAAACACCAAAATGGTCTGAAGCCGACCCTGAAAGAGTCTTGGACAGTTACATTTATGGTAATCTGCGAAGCAAAGAACAATGCTGTAGCATAACGAGTCCATGATTGTTCAGCCTTGGCATGTCCGGACTTTGCAAAGCAAAGCATTCATGAAGATGAGTCAATGAGAACTGAGGGAACTTCGGCTAAGGTTCAAGCTAAATCTTCAGTAGTGCGCTAAACCAACCGCAATGTCTTGTTTGCCTTGTCTGGGCTGGCTGGCTTTTTGGCTGGTCAGTTGCTTGCCTTTATTTGGTCAACTTCCTAAGGATACCGGGATAGGCTTGTAGGAACCAGGTCATTTTGCAACCCAGTTTACAGAGGTGCATTTTGCTTGGATGTTGGGACTTCAACTATTGGGGGGTTTTCCATTAAGCCGCTAACAGTTAATCACTTTTAGCAGGGGAGCAGAAAGCAACCGAGTGTTGGCTCCACCAGTCGTGGACTTGCTCCCTGAGTTCATGGACTGGAGCTTTAGTCACTTTTCGGGTTGGACCAATGAAAAGTTCTGACCTTTCTTGCCCAATCCTCTCAGAAAGCAACCTAGTTTCGTGGGCACCGCTCCGTTGAATCCACGCTGCGGAGTTTTGGGTTGCCACGGGCTTCGGCCCTGGAGGCCAGGGCTGGCTTCCAGCGTCGCTTCGAAGACCAGGAGGATCAGATGCAGAGGCGTCCGCGGCTTCGCCGCCAACCCGGCCACGGTCCAAACCACTTTTTGGGTTTGGTTCGGGTTTTTTTTGTCGGACCCCAGCTCCAGGAAAGTCTACAAGTTCGCCATGTACTGAGGCATCCTGTGAATTGGTGGTTTGGATTGGTGGTTTGGATGAGGTTTGAGCCCCTGGTTCTTGTAGAGGTGCAAATGGAAAACTGCCCTCAACCACCAAACCACCAATCCAAGCCACCAACTGGGGGAGAGCTGCACTACCCACCAAATGCCAAGGCTTTAGCAAACTTGTAGAAGTGTTTGGAGGTTTCTTAGGCTCAGGTATCTGGGTTCGGATTCGACAAGGGATACACTTGGGCCAGTCAACGGCCAGCAACGGCTTTCGCCAGCTGATTTAGAAGTGTAGAGGATGCGGTTCCCTGTAAACCAGGCGATTCTTAGATGTATGCTTTCAGAAGCGAATCGACCTTTCGCCTTGTTGTTCAAACTGAACAGGATGGAAGCAGATGGCACAATTCCCCGGGGGAAAAGGGGATGAATAAACAAGCAAAGGGGATTGTGCCATTTGTCACCCAACTGGAATGGCTGTCTTTCTAACGTGGCTTACTCAAGTAGCCACGGTCCATGTAAGTTCAACCTGTCACAGGTCTGGTATTTGATCCTAGTAAGTTTTAAACTTTTACTGGCCAAGACGAAAAACGGAGAAAAAGAAGAAGAAAGCAAAGCATCAAACAACACCGAATACATCCGCAGCCGTTTTAAGCCCGGGCTTTATGCCTGTCACGGTTTTCCTACTGAAAGATCAGGTATTTCGAATTAGGTCGTGAGCCGAATCCGTTCGCAGGCTTGAGGAGAGGCTAAGCAACCTGAAGCACCAGAACGACAGCTTGCTGGACGGGGCGCTCTTGGGAAATGAAATGGCTGTGGGTCAAAAGCCAAAGCGTACCCGTGAACATCCGCTTCAATCCAACCACTAAAATAGGAAGCCTAAAATGGGCTGTGTGAATTCTCACCAATCCCAACCAACATGGGATCCGATCCAAAACGGTTTTGACAAAAAAAACCACAGCCATTGGTTGGTTGTTTTGAGGTTCAGAGAAATTATCCCAGCTCCTGGACTTGAAGCTGTTTGGGTTTGGACCATTTCGGTGGTAAACAAAAGTTTAGACTGTGTTTTTGTTATTGCCAATGCACTCGGGAAGGGAGGAAAAAAAGACGACATATATCATATCGACCAGAATCAAAGAGGTTCTGTTTCGATGGAGGGAAGCTGGGCTAGGATATATCTTTCGAGCTGTTCTGGAAGGGTGTATCGGCGCAGGTCCCACCTTTTGGGTCGATCTTTGTGCACAATGCGGAGTATGAGTGATCTAAGGGAACGGATCCCGAAAAAGGCTGTGGTGTCTCTCAATGTTCCAGGAAGGGGCGCAACCAGATGACAAAAGGGGCTGTAGCGCCCAAGCTGCCAAGGGCAAGGTGCCAAACAGCTCGGAGAGCTTGGGTCTGTTGAGTGGCCGGAGCTCTACCACGCTTTCTTGACAACGTGTCTTCCGGATATTCGAGTTTGTGTTTGGTATTTCCGGAGTCTGGGTGTCTTTAAGGTCAATCCAAATGCAACCCACCCTATTTATTGTAGGGGTGTCCTTTTTGAGAGAATCCAGCTGAAGTCTTCATTTGCCAATTGGTGCCAGGAGGCGGGTGCTGGGAGTTGCGTTCGCGTCGTTTAGGACCAAGGCTGCAACTGGGAGGAGGAGATCAAGAGCGGCAGCGCCCGCATCGAAGACTTGGAGGCCGGCAGTTCCTCTCTCGCCAGCTGTGTGGCCGGGCCTCGCAAACCACAAATTGAGCCATGGAAACCTGACAGCCATTCGTTAGGCGAAGTCCGAGCAGTTGGAGAAGGAGCTGGAATCTGCAAGGCTGATCCAAGCGCAGGTTTGGTGAATGCTGGGAAGAGCTTGCATCTCTTTGCCCTTGACCAACAGATTACCAACATGATGATGGTAGAAATAGAGGTTGCTTCCAGGACCCTGTGTATGCTTAGTAAGCTCTGCAAACAAAAGCTGCTTTTTCGATAGCATGCCAAGGGTTGGGAAGAACGGAGGGACGCCAACGAAGGGTCTTTCACCTTCTGTTGACAGGTGACGTCTAGCGAGTTGTCCCGATGTTCACCTACCATGTACCGGTAACCCTTACTTGGAGAGTTGGATTGGTGGCGTCGGGTTTGAAGCCCTGGTTCTGGTAGAGAGGGTCAATGGGACACCGCTCCCAAGCACCAATCCGCCCAGCATGCCATTGCAAGAGAACCGGTTTTTTCAGAAGCCTCGCTGGGCAGTGCGTCCTGTCACCCTGTCACTTTTCTGTGGCTCTTCAGCAAGGCGTTGGAAGCCAAGCCCAAGATGCCTTCGAACTTGAACTTCCAGGGCCCAAAAAGTTGCAAAGACGACACCCCGAAGAGCTGGGGCAAAGGGCAAAGCAGGCAGCTTGAGGCCAGACTTGTTTTTTGGGAGGGGAAAAAATCCGCTGGGTTTGTTGGGTGGCTTGTTCTTTTTTGTTCTCCTCCGTTTCAAATGCCACAATTGGTCCGTTCTTCTTTTGAAGTCTGATCCGGCATTTCTTGGCCCAAATCTGGGGACCGCAAATCGTGTGTCGAGCTTCTTCTTCATTGTCAAAACTTAATCTACCCAAAAATTAAACAAACAAACATACAAACTATTCGGAGGAGACCCAAAAAAGGCAAACACGTCTACCCCGCCCCCCTCAAAAAAAGAAGAAGAAGAAAAAGCAAGAAACAGTACAAATACTTCGCTTCGAGCAATCCCCACCCTCCACACTCACCAGCTTACGACCGTGAACACGGTTGTGTGAATTCAAGCATGGTTTTCGAGTGGCTTGGGGCCTATGACTGCTCAAGAAGCTTTGCATTGAGAGCCTTATCCACCTGTCTGTGTGTCAAGCTCCACTTGTCTGCGAGCCGATCTCGAGGACTCAAACATCGGTTCCGTTAACAAACGCCAAGCCCGTTCCAAAAAGAAACCCGACGGGAGATTAAACGAAGTTGCTTATTCACAACCCAAAGCAACGCAAAAGCATCACCCTTTCCCAGCCTGAGGGCACACTCAAAACACGAAGGCGCCAACATGAAATGTAAACCCAACTGCGCGCCGGGCGGGACATTAAACAAAACCAGACTGGCGAGCTGCTCTGGCGGGATACTGGCGGGATCCACTGGCGAATACTGGCGAGCCGCTCCGGCTCGATACTGGCTGAATACTCGGCAGGATCCACCGGCAAGGACTACTCAGCGGGATACTCGGCGGGATCCACTGGCGAGCTACTCTGGGATACTAGCGGGATAGTCGGCGGGAGGGGTACTAGTTGGATACTCAGCGGGATCCACTGGCGGGCTGCTCTGGTGGGATACTCGGCGGGATCCACTGGCGAGCTACTCTGGCGGGATACTTGGCGGGATCAGCGGGATACTTGGCGGGATGCACTGGCGGCTGCTCTGGTTGGATACTTGGCGGGATCCACTGGCGACCTTTTGTGGCGGGATACTCGGCGGGATCCACTGGTGAGCTACTCTGGGATACTCAACGGGTGCTCGGCGGGATCCACTGGCGGGCTGCTCTGGTATGCTCGGCCCACTGGCGAGCCGCTCGGCGGGATCCACTGGCGAGCCGCTCTGGGATACTCGGCGGGATACTCGGCGGGATCCACTGGCGAGCTCTGGCGGGATACTGGGCGGGATCCACTGGCCAGCTGCTCTGGCGGGATACTCGACGATCCACTGGCGAGCCGCTCTGGCGGGATACTCGGCGGGATGGGATACTCGGCGAGCTGCTCTGGCGGGATACTTGGCGGGATCCACTGGCGAGCTGCTCTGGCGGGAAACTCGGCGGGATCCACTGGCGAGCTGCTCTGGCGGGATACTGGGCGGGGGCGTGGTGTAGAAGCATCGCAACTGCGGATTTCAACATAGAATCTAACAACCAGCTCCTGTCGGGTGGGGAAAATCAAGTTGGAGGAGACTCTAGATTTGAAGCTGGCCATTGCCGGCTTGGCCGCCTGATTTGGGCCACTAGGCACGAGATGAAGGGCGTGGGGGGCCTGCAGTCAGACGTCGCCGCTGGCTCAGCTGTTTCTGGGGCGGATGTCAGCTTCACTTCACGTTCGCCATTTTCAGGATTTGAAGGCTTGCTGAAGGCTACGCAAAACGCTGTAAAACGATAAGGAGGAATAAAAACGATAACGTCAAAAGAGCAGTAGGGGAAGGATGGGAGTTTTTATACAAGCCCAGAGATACATTGAAACCCTCCACCCCCCAGACTTGCCCACAGCTCACTTCCCTAGTGTCTGCAACGTATCACGCAGTTTTGAACAGGCTCGTTGTGACGAACGCCAAGCGCCTCCAGGAAAAGCTTCAGCTTGACAGCAGCAACTGGCGGGAGGCCTTTGGGCGTGACTCAGTGAGTCTATTGACCCCAGATTGCGTGTCTCCATTTCGGGCTTCGACGTGTTGAGATAAACCAGGTGAGCTTCTCTTTTTTTGTTTTTTGGCAGGTTTGGTGATTGTCCCAGCCCAGATCTTGGGCAGCCTCCTTTGCCATCCCTTGTGTGCTTTCGTCCATGGTGCGGGGGGGGGGGTGGCAGACAGATGAATTCCAGAGGATTGTAGTTCGCGCCCTGGATTGACACCTCGTCTGCTGGGCATTGCCAGGTCAAACCTGGTTTGTTTGGCTCCGTGGGCAAAAAAACAAGCTGGCGCGTCGAAGGGGATGGGAACCCGAAGTGATGTGGCTTCCCTCTCCGAAGCCCCCAATCAAATTGCACGGCGCTGGTGGGCGAGTATTCGGGGGGTGGTTAGGAAGACCCTCTAAATTGTGGGTAAATATCAATCAAAATGCAAGTGATGGCCACCAACATTACTCTCAACTCAAATTCACTGAGTGCGATCTGTACTTTTGGAATCTTTTGGACCCCTCTCTGCACCTATACAGCTACCAAACATGGACATTCAAAAGGAGTCCACACGAAGGTTCCTTGAACTGGCAATTGCCAGTTCATGAGAGTCACACCCATCCGGATCAACCTCAAAACTCGAGGACACTCCGCGGCCGCTCCAGCCATTTTCGCTTAGCTCGACAGGCGATGCAGAGGATCGAGACGGCGGCAGCCACCAATGTGAGCCAAGACGAGTGGCCTTGGCTGAAGCTGGGGAAGGTAGTGGTTGTACTAGGTCCCCACTAGCGCCCTTCTCTACCCCCTTCTTGGGGGGGAGGGTTCCCCGACTAAAATCGACTACAGAAAAAGTGGGTACCCTTATTCTAGCCTCTCTACAGGAGGACCTAGCATAGGATTGTCCCTTTGTTCAGACTGCCTTGACTTGGTTTGAAAAGAACACTCACCCGCCCCTGAGCCTTCGCATTCTTATTCCCACTGCTTGGAACCCTTGGTCATTCCCACCCTCTGTGTTTGAGGATTTCCCTGTGGAGTTGAGGCCAATATATTTGCAATTTACGCGACTGGGGGTGGGATTCTGTGTCAGGGATGCGCTCCAAGGCGTTGCCTGAGCAACTGGCAATTCCAAATTCCTCCCCAAACTGGGCGTTCACCCAAAGTTTTACACGCCCTCTTAAGGTGCGTCGCTCAGTATTCAACCAGTCTATTGCCTGGATTTGCCCCTCTATGCTGTGCTGCTCATAACTTGTGGCCTGCCTCAAGACTTAAGAATCTGCTGTCCGAGAGCCCAAGCTGGCACGACGCGTCTCTCCTTGGTGAAGTTAATAGCAGCAGTTTTCCTGGAACTCCCTGAAAGCTGCCCCAAACATCCCCAAACCACCGGGGAAAAGCCACCGGGGAAAAGGCAACTATAGGCAACTCGTGCGCACCAAGTCTGAAGCAGATGCACGCGGAGCTTCAGAACTGGATCACGGACACCCGCCAGGCCGCTGTTCGAGAGATTCGGGGCTCACGGCGAGTTCGGGCGCCAAATCACTGTGGGTGTCTCCCATCAAAACCCCCGCCAAGCCTGGGTCGGTTTTCAGGTGGCCCTCGAAGCCCGGGCGAAGCCCACTTGATCAATGGATTCTGCGCAGAATGGATTCAGCGGTTCAGCGGCGCAGCGGACCATCCCCGCCCAGCTTGCCTGTGTCCCTCAACCCGTCAGGTTGGGTCACCTCATAGGTCACCCGACTGAAAAGTCACGTCGAAGTGACCCCCGATTTCCCGGATCCAACCACGGTCCGATTCAACTCCAGGCCTTGGACCGCTGGCTGTCCGCGTCCCTGGACAGGTTCCAAAAGGAGCAGGGCCTGGGCCACGGCTTCCTTTTTCGGGGCGGGGGGGGGGGGAATTCGAAATGAGGTGGTGGGGTATGCCAAGGATTGGGGGCCCCTAATTAAGCACGGTTTCCATTTAGGTGCCCCTTGTAAACCAAGGTGAAAGGGGGCAGCCTCAAAACAAGGCATAGATAGATTTGGTTTGTTCTTGTCACGTTAATCGAGAACCACAAAGAATTGTTTGCTTTCGGTGCAGCGCAACAGTCATGATGGCTCATGTGCCCGAGACGGGCAACTGCCAGCCCACCTGCCGAAACTTGGCCAGGGGCGCATGCTCCACCACAAGAGGTGTTTGTTCAGCCTTTTAGGCTTGGATGAGCGCTGAGCGTCATGTCCCTTTGGGCTCGGAACATGTTGGTTAGTAACCGGGGCCCTTCGCCCTGCCTTAATTCTTTGCCAAAGTGCGAGCCATGCTTGCGGTCAAAAACCCCCCTCTATGAACTGGATTGTTCAAAGTCAGTCCTGAATCAATTTGCCAGATGGTATTTGTTTTTTCCTGGTTCTACTGGTCAGGGACCCCCCACGTTTGGCACGGCCCGGAAAAATGAGGCGTTTTTTTGGGAAGGCACAATTTGGTGGCAGACATGTTGTTTGGACGTGTTTAACCCAATCCACTCAGAAGGTGTTCTAGAGGTTGCTTGCCCATTCTATTTAAGGGCTTACGCCTGACAGCCGGGCGCCCCGAAAAGCATCAGTTTTCCGGGGAAACCACGGGCTCGCCTGGCGCCCGGATTTCCCCTTTGGGCTTAGGCAGGTAAAGGACACCCTCGCCGGACTCTCCGCTCGATGCCTGAGGCTGGGCCCTCCAGCGAAACCAAGGCCCGCCAGTCGAGGGGGGTGTTGGAGGGTAAGGTGTACCAAAGGCGACCAGGACTTGTCCTGGCCCCCCAGCAACTCCGGATGAACTTAGGAATTTGTCCTGAAATCTAGAGTTGGCTTACCCATGCTGTTTCACGACTTGGGTTACAAATTATCTAAGTAGTTTATATATCCCACAAGTTGTTTTCAATGTAGTGGCATCGAATGCACATGTATTTCCACAACGTTTTGCTTGAGGGTCCATCCCCTAACACAAAAGCAGTACCTTGTCAGACCTTGTCAAAAGGTTCAAGGTTGGGGGTAACTGTTGGAAGGTCGTGGAAGGTTAAGTGATACCTTGAGAGGAATGGAAAGGAGATCCTGTGGGCCTTTGAACTGCGGAAATTTTGAGAGCCTTGTTGAAGGGTTGGAGGCCTTCCGGATCCCTCCTCAACCTTCTCAGCGGACATCCCTTGGCGAGAGCAGCGCATGTTTTCCGGTATCGTTGTCCTCTTCACATGCCGAGAGTCACCCAGCAGCGGACTAGTTTTTGCCGCAAGCACATTGGCAGCTAGTGTGTGCTTGATGAGGAGGGACACCGCTGCAGTTGTTGCGCCTGTTGATTTCCCACTCGCATCACACGCCAGTTGGTTTCCTTCTCACATGGCCAATAGGGGGCAAGTGTTTTGCTCCTGGATCTAGGATAGGGCTCAATCAGAATGGGCCCTGGGTTGAAAGAGGCTACTGTAGTTGACCCCAACGCTTCCGCGCTGGGCTCTTTCATTTGGCCAGGGTGGGCTCAGCGCGTCAAGCACTGGATTGAGCAGATTCATATCCGTCTGGCGCCCAGTTGCTGATAGTATTTGTTACCCTCTTGCAGGTTAGCATGGGGTAGGATCAAAATTGGGTGGGCCAAACGATGTGCAAACGTGACCCTCAGAGAACAAAAGCTTGCCGTTACCCTCAAGATGCCGAACGAACACCCGTTGGAGGGACGCAAGCAGTGTCATGGAGCCCAGGGATCAAGAAACCCCGCTTGATTTTGATGGGCGGCCGTCCCTTTTTGTTTGGTTCTGTTGGCTGGATCCGAATCACTTTCCTTGCCGCAGGGCTCTCAGTTCTCATGGAAAGCTCCCGGCAGTCCAGCGGAATCCGCTCTCTAAATCCCTTTTCTGTCTGAATATGGTCAACTCCAAAGTGGTCAACCCAAAATTATATGGTCGACCAACCAAAAGCCACCCAACGGGTCACTGGGGGCAGCTGGGGGCCTCAAGAAAAATGGCGAGGAGAGCAGGGCCTGAGCCACGTGATCCTCCACATCATCCAGGAGGCTTCAAAGCCAACATGGAGTCATTGCTCTTGCGGGAATCCTCAGCTGGGAAAGGTGACTTAGGCCCAGATTCCTTGGATGGGTGTAAGTGGATGTGTGTGTGTGTGTGTGTTTTGTTTTCTTGTGGAAAGCAGAAGAGCTTTCAAACCTCAGTTGCCCAAAGCGAATGGATTGGTTTCTCATGTTTGGTCCATGTTTACTGGCCCAAAAAGGTTGACCTTCTCTTTCTGGGTCCTTTGGGCAAATGAGAACTGCTCACTTCCAAATGTCCTGGACTTTAGTCACTTGAATCTGGACCATGTTTGTGGCGAACAGGTTTGGACTCGCTTTGGCTGAGGAAGTGAGAACCAAGTTCCTTTTCAATTTGCAGAATTGGAACCCGAAAAGGCTCAGGTTGTTGCAAAGTTCACTGGGCACACGATCCGAAACCGAAATGGGGGCACTGGTGACCCCTCGGGTTGGGAACATGTGTGTGTTCCCGCAAATCAAAGACGTGTTTGCATTTTTGCATAGGAAACAGTAGCCTTGCAGGAAGGGCATTTTGTTACAAGGACGGAACCGAGTGACGCCTTGGTTCCAAGAGCTTCATGCCTCCACTGCCCATAGCCAACCCATCACTCCAGTCCAGGGACTCGCCTCGCTTGGTGGCGCAGGCTTGAAAAGCAGGACCACCCAAAATAATCAACCAAAGACGGGTGTCCAAAAGGGTCATGAAAAATTCTCACAAGAGCCCAGACATGGACCACCGTTTTGTTTTTTTGTTTCCCGCGGGCGTCACCCGTGCTGGGCGGTTCTTTTTGTCTTCGGCGGGAAAAAAAACGAAAATCCCCCGGGAGGCGGGCCCGGAGACGGTGAAGCTCCTGGAGCAGGCGGGGATGCCCAAACCGAGTTTCCCCGACGCCCGGGTTCCTCAAACGCGGATGAGATGGCATGAGCGCGTTTCTTGTGGAACCATGCCCCAGGCTCAAAATGAAAGAGCTAAGGTTACTTGCAGGTTTTGGTGCATGTTTCCACTTACCAGGCTTCAAAGTATGTTTGGTGCCGGTTTTTTGAGCCATACCCAAATGGCATGAGCGGTTCAAAAGACATGGCTTCCTCCGCATTTCGATCAGTTTTGGTTGCGGACAGTGCCTTGAGCCAACCTCGAGCAAGCTGTTTGGAGGTACAAACGCGTGAATCATGGAGAGGGAATAGAAATGGGGCCGTTTGGGTCCCAGCTTGCCCCAGCGTTCTTTCAGCTGGAAGTTGGCAACCTTCCACCCCCTCCCCAATTTCCTTATATATCCCTTGTGGGCCCACTTTGAAGATGGGCGCCTGGAGTTTCCATTGCCAACCAAAAGCCAAGCCTCATCTTCCTGACGGATCAACCGAGGATGCACACATCTCAAACAGCGGAGTTTGCAATCTAATTAAACCCCTCTTCTAAACCAAACGCGGTCTAGTCCGATCTACGTTGCGACCCTGTCCGTGACGGCTTTCCTGCTCCCTTTGACGTGGCTCTTCAAACAGTCACCCACCAGGACAAAATCTTTAGCATTGTGTGAACCTCAATGTCCAGGTTTGCGGACCACAAGTGGCAATTGGGACACCAGCAAAATACCGAAGATCGGACCTGGAGTCTCCAGTGACCCGCACGCCGAGTCTCTTGGGTTCAACCCCCATGCAAAGGATGACCCCGATTTGGAGGACAATCCTTAGGTGAACGAGCCGCCATCGTTTTAATGGTGGTTTGAACCCCAGAAGGAGGGCGGCCAGATCAAGCCGAGCCAGGCTCTGAAGCTTCCAGCAAAGCCCACCTTGACAGCCGACGCCATCCGAGAGGCTTGCAGCCGCTGAATTCGCGCCGGGCTTTTCTCGAGCTTGCAGCCGGGGGATTGCGAGCAACTCGCGCGCAAGATGAGTTGCGCAAGAGGCAAATATGCTGTTGTGTTTTCTTTTTTTTCTTTTCTTTTTTCTGGTGGATATTGCTTTATGGTTTCCTTCAATGCCATATGGAGGGGATTCCTTTTTTTGCAGAAATGTCCAGAGGTTATCTATGAGTTGCAAAGCTTGCAAGACGCTAGGATTTCCACTGGCTGTTCCGAGGGACCGGTGCGGCGCTAATTCGATGCCCCAATTCGAAGCATGGAATTCAGTGGTCGCAGGAAGATAAGTGATTCCTGCCAATTCACGACATGAATTTGGATCGATTTTCTGGGGATCGAACTTCTTCAGTTCAAAGCAGCAATGAAAAACAAGATTAATCACTGATCACAGACTAGCAGATGAGTTCTGGGATATCTGAGCACGACGAGCTCATGGCGGGCGGGCGAAGGCGGCAGCACGCAAGCTCGTGCGTACGCGTGCCTATTTGCGGGCCTGCTTGGTGGGTGGCGAGTGAAGGTGCGGATGAATAGTCGTGCGCGCGTAGATGTATTCACAAGCACTGGTCGCATTAGAGTAAACAAAACCGCCAGAAACGACCATGCTGGGATACCCGATGCGAGGTTGTGAAACATTTGACTACGTAATTAGGAAAAACATGCGGCGATGGGAGGCTGCAGAGGCTACGTTGGTGTTGCCTTGCGCACAGCACAACCTCAATTCCATATCGCCCGATAGTCGGGAAAAGATATGAATAATTGAATCGTATGGGTATGGTCCGTTTTAACCTTAAATTTTACATTAGGAATGCATTATTGCTCACAACACTCTCGTTCAGTGCGAACACAAAGATTAATTAATACGAGTAAATGACTGAATAAGGGTGATTGCATGTCAAACGTTCCCTGCACCCGCTCAAGCCTTCAGGGTTTTATGTGGGACCTCCTAGCGGTAGCCCCGAAATTGCTTTTGGAGGGATCGCGTACTGGCTGGTGGGGCCTTTCCTGTCCTTCTCACTGTCAAGGCGGCTTCTCAATCCTTCTCTCCGTGGCTTTCGGGGCATTCCTGCTCGGGGTCATCTTGACCGTTCTGGTCTTCCGGCAGATTCTTCTCAGCCCTCAGGCTTCTGCTACACTTGCTCGCCCTCCGGCTCCCGGGCCTCCTTCCCCTCGGCAGCCTCCTGTCCCTCGTGCCCAAGCTCGGCTTAGGGGCTACTTGCATGAGTGATACGGACCCCGTCGAAGGTCTCCGTATCGCTCTTGAGGGCCTCCGTGTTGCTACAGAGGCTTTATCTCGCACTAGAGGTGGTGGTATCCCCGCTTCTGCGGATATTCGTCACGGGGACGACTGGGAACTGGTGGAGGACCTTGGGAACGACGGGAACGAGGCGGTGGATACTACGATTGCAACTACAGGGGTTCCTTCCCCTTCTGATTGCCCTGCTCATTGTCTTGTGCTCTGCAGGCGGCTCTCTTCTGTTGCCGGCTCTCCGGCCGACAGGGCAACCAGAGCTTGGAATCTCGGTCTCTCGGCTAAGGCCTTCCTTTCTGGCCAGTCCGAGTCCTTCCAGAGGGGGGAGTCTCTCTCTCTCAAGAACTCCGTCTTTGTCATCCTCCGAGCGCCGGGGCTCGTTGCTCCCACTCGGGTCGGTTGTGCCTCGGATCTCCAGAGGGTCATTGGCAGGGCCAAGCATCCACTGGTCCTTTACCACCCTTTTCCCTCGTTGGCAGAGGCCCAAGTCTTCTGCATCGGTGCTGGAGTTGTTTTCCCTCGACCCCATTCGTTCTCACAATGACCGAAGGAGTCCAGTTCCTACTGGATGGGCCGCCCACATGGCTCGTGCTCGACTGGCCGACCCCGCTCCCAGGATCGGATTCTACGGTATGCATCCCTGTCCTATCCCGGCCTGGGGGTATCATGGTGGCGGTCCCTGCAGGATCAGCTTCGGAGGGCGCGCTAGCCAGCCTCTCCGTCGATCACTCGGACGGGTTCCTGGGCCCGTTTACGTCTGTCACCGTCCCTGCCGCAACAGAGGATCTTACGGGGGTGGAGGAGGAAACGCCCCAGTCCGTGACCCTCTGGCTCCTGGACCTGTCTTTGTCAGTCGCTTCCGACCGGTTCCATGCTTTCGATCCGGTCACGGAAGGAGACCTCCCGGGGTTCCATCCGGAGGACAATCAACTTGTCCCATACTCCCCCTCCTTGCTCACGGCTCTCAACTGGGTCTCTTCGGAGACGGGGGAGCGCCTTGCTTTCTACTCCGCGGCATCGGAAGCAGTCCCACCTCAGGAGGAGCAGACACCCCCTCCTCGCAGACAGCAGCCGAAGCCGAAGCGGGTCACCACGGCCTCTCTTGCGGATCAGCTGGCGAAGGTGGTGGACATGCTGCCCGCCATCAGTTCCCAGCTCCAGGAGCTTCAGATGCGACAGGATGCGGTCGAGCTCCGGCTCGAGCCTGCTCAGGCTTCTGCCACGGTCCCTGCACTACCCACGGCCCCGAAGGCCATGCACCAGCAGCCATTTCCGGCGGCGGCTGCTTCCTCTTTCCAGAATCATGCTTTGGGGGCAGTGGCGAAGTCACTGGGACCACCTCCCAAAAGTCGCCCTCTGGCCCCCTCCCCCAGCCCTTCGGTTGGAAACAGGGCGGAAGCAGATCCGGAGGTTTTTGCGGAGCTCCCCCAGGGCTCAGTCTTGCGGATCCTGGCGGATCAGTCTCGGGCCCTAGGCATCCTTGCCGCGCAACTCGGGGCAGGGGACACCCTAGGCGATCTGGCAAAGGACGGCCATGGGCTTTCGCTGTCAACAAAAGGAGCAGCGAAGAGGGAGAGATTACAACAGGAGCTCGCGAACAGAAGTGGCGGGTTCCTTCTCCAGGTGGCCCAGCAGGCCCACAGGAAAATGGCGCCCGCCGACCCGATGCCCAGCAGTCTGCAGGAAGCATCGCGGACGGTGTCGTTCACTCGCTACATGGAAATCTACGGTGGCTATCAGGCGGCGAAGGAGATGGGCTTGATCATGTGGGTCCTTTCCCACGTCGCCAACTGCATGCTGCGAGAGGACCATCAGGGAGCCCAGGATCACTTGGGCTTGTTGATGGTCTCGATCGAGCAAGCCGTTGGAGACGGGGGAAGATGGGACCTCGCCTACCTGCTGACGCTCTTGGACGAGCCGCCGCAGCAGGCCTTTGCCTCGCGACCTCAACCAATGAACCCCCGATTGAGGGCGTTCATGCCACTTTGCCCTCAACCGTGGGCGACCTGCGCTTTGGCCTTCATCAAGGAGGTGGACATCATCTCGACCAGGCGGCTGGAAGCCGCCGGGACTTCAGGCCCGAGCAACCGGGCGCCCAGGCCTGCGGACCCCACAGACCCAGAGAAGCCGGTCCCAAAGCGGAAGCCCAGGTTCGCGAAGAAACCGAAGGAACAGTGACCCGTCCTCGCGACCATGATGGGTCGGGCGCTGTGTCCGTCGGGCGGACCACGACTACTCCTCAGTGCTCTCACTACCCTGATGTGGCCGATGCAGGTTCTGCCCTGCCTCCGATCGGCCCCTTTTCCAGCGTCTCTCATGGGTCCTGGCTCTCCACCCTGTTGCGGAGGGTCCTTGCGACTCGTACCCATTTTGCGGCTTTTCTCAAAGCCACCCTGCACTTGTCCAGGGTCGAGCACAGCTCCCCTGCTAAGGCTCTTTTCCCTTTGCCTGTCCCAAAGCCAGGCTCTTTTGCGAGGCTCCGTTCCCGCGCCTCAGCTAAACTCAGAAGGCAGCGGGCGTTTGATCAGGCTCTGCACATCGTTGTCATGGCTTTGAACTTCCTTCACAACGACTGCTCTTATGTGCCCCTAGGCCAAATCCGCCCGTTGCCAAATCCATCTCAGAGGCAGATGATCTCTCATCTTGCCCGCCTTGTCAAAGCCTTCGGCTGCCGGGGGGACTTTCCAATCCCCGCGTGCGGACGACGCACAATTCACCTCTCTGCACGCCTTTCGGAACTCACCGAGTTCCTCAACCGGTCGGGAGCCGCCTCGGCTCCCTACCTTCACGGAGTCGACATCGAGGGCTCCGCGGTCCTTTTCGACACCTCCGTTGCTGAGGAGCTGAGGCCCTACCGGTCTCTCGATGCGTCCCGACTGAAGCTATCGGGGAAGGGCCAATGGGACCCGACCCCTTGGCTCCCCATTGAGCTTGTGCTTGCTTTCAGGGAGCCTGAATCCATCTCGATTCCGGCTTCTCCACTACCTGGGGAAGTGCCCGACATATCTAGGGAGGATCGCTCACAGATCATTGAGCTTGCGAGAAAGTGGGATTCCCTTGGGCTTCTCCATCTCTCGGTCAATCCCCTGCCTGTCGATTCGTCCTACCAGTATGTAAGGATCTTTAACGCCTACAAGTCTTCTGAGAAGGACAGGCAGATCGGGGACCGCAGGGGCCGAAACCTAGCCGAAGGACGCATACCAGGGGCCTCTCGCTACCTACCCACGGGCCCCCACCTTGCTGCTCTTGAGATCAACCCCTCCACGAGTAGCCTCAGTGTGTGTATGACAGACCGAAGCGACTTCTACCATCAGTTAGCTGTCTCGCCCGCCCGGGCTGAAACAAACAAGCTTGGTCCGCCCATCCCTTCGGCGGCGCTCTCGGGCACCAATGCTTATGGCTCTCTCCTCTCTAGGCTCGGGCTGCGCGAGCCTAGAGAGCAATCGGGCGACTACCTCGGCTCTCATTCTAGGGCCCGTTCCTGCCTCATTCCTGAGGAAGTGAACGTCTGCTTCAAGGCGATCCTTCAGGGTGACCACCTCGGCGTTGAGATCGCCACTGCTGCTCATAGAGGATTGCTGAAAGGCTCTGGCCTTCTTGCCCCCTGCTCCGAGCTCCGGGCTCGCTTCCCTTTCCCTGGCTCGAGTCTTCTTGAGGGTCTTGTCATCGACGACTACAGACCGGTCGGCCTCATCCCTGCTTCTTGCCGTGCCCTCGCAGCCGCGAAGTCGGCCTACAAGGCTGCCTCTTTAAGTGGCTCTGACGAGAAGGACATCGTCGATGCCTGTCAGGCAAAGGTCGCAGGCGCCGAGATTGACTCTTCGCCTCAGAATCTCGATCGGGGTCTCTGCACCGTCGGAGCCCCCAGAGAGAAGAGGCTCGCCCTCTCGGCGCTCTCACTTGAGGTCGCACGCTTGCCGGCTACCACTGACAGTCTTCACCAGTGCCTCCTTGGGGGTTGGACTTCTGCCCTCCTCTTTAGGCGGCCTCTCATGTCCATCCTCGGCACTGCCTTTGGTCTCTGCCCTACGGGTGTTTCGAACCAGAACGAGGCCAAAGTCGTCGCGCTCCCCCGACCTGTCGCTCAGGAGCTTACTTTGCTCGCCGTCCTTGCTCCCCTCGCGGTCTCTGACCTCTCGGCAACTTTTGGGTCTACGATCTACGCGACTGATGCTTCCGATACCAAGGGCGGCATTGTCTCGGCCCCCTGTCCTGTCGAGGCTCAGAGAGCCATGTGGAGGATTGACGGGAGGAAAGGCGGCTACTCCCGGCTACTTGCAAAGGAGGAGGCTCTTCTTGCCCGGTGCCACTTTTACTACTCGGATGAGCCTGGCAGGATTGCTTCCGTGCCCTCGCCTGTTAGGCCTCTGGCTCAGCACTGGGACTTCATAGAGGTATGCGGCGGGGTTGGCGGGGTCTCCAAGCAGATGCACAACTTGGGATTTGTCGTGGGGCCTGTTCTCGACCTCTCGCGGTCGAAGGAGTACGACCTCGGGGACGACCTTGTCTTCGAATGGCTGGCTCATCTCCTTCAGAGCGGGAATCTCTCGTCCTTCATGGTTGAGCCCCCGTGCACTACCTTTAGCCCTGCTGCCTACCCGGCGTTGAGGAGCTACACGACTCCCTTTGGCTTCGATCCTACCGAGCCGCGCACCCTCCTTGGGAACCGGCTTGCTTTCCGGGCACTCGCCCTGCTTCTTGTCGGGCGCCGCACAGGCGCCATCGGCCTCTTAGAGCAGCCTCGCCGATCCAAGATGGCCTGGCTTCGCCAGTGGCGCCAGCTCCTGGCTTTGCCCAAGGTCTACGAGACCTGGACCGCCTCCTGTGCTTTTGGCTCGCCACACCAGAAGGAATTCCGTTTCCTTTCAGTCAACGGGGACTTCCATGAGGTTCACAGGAAGTGCTCCCGCGATCATACACACGTCAGGATCGAAGGCAGCCTGACAAAAGGCTCCGCGGTTTACACCGAGGGCCTATGCAGGGCACTGGCACTCACTTTCGCATCTCACCTCCGGAGGACTCACCACGCTCACGAGGCTCATCGTCTCGACGTAGGTGGCCTCGAGTCACTGCTCGTCAATGAGGCTGCCTTGGCTCTTCCCTGGCGTACCGTCGCCAGCTGGTCCTGGAGGGGCCGTTCCCACATCAACATCCTCGAGGCTGCAGCAGTCTACCGGCTTCTTACTCACGTCGCCAGAAAAGGGTGCAAGGTGCGTCTCGTCAACCTTGTCGATTCGCATGTTGCGCTCTCGGCCATCGGCAAAGGCCGTTCGCCCTCGAGGGGCCTGACCCCCATCCTCAGGAGGATCGCGGCAGTCCAGCTAGCCGCTGGCCTTTATCCTGTCTTCCCTTTCGTGCCCACTCGGCTGAACCCCGGGGATGCGCCGACCAGGGACTACGAGGTCCCAGCTCCGCTCCCGCCGGCTTTTCCTGCCCTCCTTGGCAGCTTTCCGCTCTCGTGCCGGCTAGGCCAGCTTGGGCCTTTCAAGAGATGGGCCGCCAATTGGATCAGGCTTGTCACTCTTCTTGGCGGCTACTCACCTGCCCCTCATCCTTGGGCTGACTTTGATCAAACCCTCGGATTTCCAGGCGAGGGCCCTTCCGGCTTCTCCTTGCTTCTCTGTCTTTTTGGCCCCTTCCTGTCAGTGCGCGATCCTTGCATTAGCAATTTGGTTCCGCTGCCTTTTAGCCATGGCTCGGTTTTTGGGCCTGTCCTAGCACAGGCAGCAGGCGGACAATCTTGCATCTGGCCGAGGAATAAGGGGGACGTGCAGCGGCAGGCTTCGAGGTTACCCAGCGGGCTTCCTGCCGGCCGACCGGTTGAGCCCGCCACACAAAAGCAGAGAGACGGACTTCTGGGCAGTTTCAGGGACTGGCTGACAGATCAAGGGGTCGGTTACGATTCACTGATCCTGTGCCCAGACCCTGATACGGATGGTGTCAATGCAGTGCTGATTAGGTATGGTCGCCTTTTGTACCAGGCAGGACGGCCCTACACGCATTACGCCGAGACCATCAACGCAGTCGCGGCCGCAAGGCCCAGATTGCGGAGGGCCCTACAGCAAGCTTGGGACTTAGCTTTTGCATGGCGGAAGGAGGAGCCCCCACAGCATCACTCAGCGATGCCTTGGCAGATCCTGGTCGCTTGCATTGTCACTGCGGTTCTTTGGGGTTGGCCTCTGGTCGCAGGAGGTTTGGCTTTAACGTGGGGAGGAGTTTTGCGTATAGGTGAGTTTTTCCAGGCCTCAAGGTCGCATCTTTTGCTGCCATCGGACGTTGGAAACACTGTTGACCACGCATTGCTTTCGATATGCGAGCCGAAGACGAGGTACAAGGCAGCCCGCCATCAAGCTGCCAAGGTTGACCACCCTCAGCTTTTGCAGGTCATCGCCCTCGCATTTCAGAAGTTACCAAAGGGGTCTCGGCTGTGGCCGGCCTCACCTCAGGCATTCCGGCGCAGATTTGCTACGATCCTTCGGGCGCTACAGCTGCAAGTTTTGCCGGAGGGCCAGAGGCCCCTTGATTTGGGATCTCTGAGAGCAGGCGGGGCAACATGGCTTTTGCAGACCTCTGAAGATTCTTCTTTGGTGCAGCGGAGGGGGCGGTGGCTTACACAGAGGGTCATGGAGATTTACATCCAGGAGGTCAGTGCCACGCAGTTTATACACAACTTGCCTCACAATACAAAGCAGCGGATTTTACAGTTGGTGGGGTGCTTTCAGCGTACACTGTGTCTTGCAGAGCGTTGGGATGCTTCGGGTATAGCCCCCTCGGTCTGGTTCTCACTTTTCGCGTACAGTAAGTGAGATGTTTTGACACAGTGCCCCTTCCTGCTGGACTACCACACCGCGGCGCTTGAGCGAAAGGCTTGGGGGTTTTTCTTTCCGGATTTCTGGATGGAGGAACTGGGTGTGATGAGTTTTGGGCCAGATGCCCCTGGAGGATCACCTCATGAGGGCACCTGGCTTTGCGCCACTTGTGTGGCTTTCAGAGGTGTCTTGATGACACCTGACCTGATACCATGCGTACACAGTGCAGGGAAAAGGGTCGACCGCATGAACCCTTGACTGAATAAGGGTGATTGCATGTCAAACGTTCCCTGCACCCGCTCAAGCCTCCCACCCGCCCACCCGGGGCCGCGGTGTGATGAGTTTTGGGCCAGATGCCCCTGGAGGATCACCTCATGAGGGCACCTGGCTTTGCGTCACTTGTGTGGCTTGCAGAGGTGTCTTGATGACACCTGACCTGATACCATACGTACACAGTGAAAAGGGTCGACCGCATGAACCCTTGAATATTTTTGGACTCTAGATCCTCTGAATATTGTTAGTGATAACCTTATACGAGCAAATTCATAATTTAATGGATTTTTGAAATTTATTTTATTATATTTTGTGGTTTGAATAATTATAAATGTTGGGGTTTTAGTTTAGATGGGCTCCGGGGTGATTTGGGATAATTTTTAGGTAAGGTTTTATGAGGGTTTTGTTGGGTGATATTAAATAACTATTAATAAGCCTAAATTGGTTTTGGGTAAGTACGCTCTATTAATTTTAGGTTATGTATTTGTTTGATTTTTTTGATAATGTAAAAGAGGGTAGAGTGGTGTTTTTTTATGTTTAGGTCTAAATATGGTTTTGTTTTTATTAATTATTAGTTTTTAATATTGCAATTTTTTGGGTTATGTATTTAGAAGATTTAGGAAAAAATTTAAGTTGGTTTAGGAATCGTAAATATAGATAGAAATATCGCTGTAAATTGAATATAAATCGCTAATACCAACAAAATTCTGATAGAGAGCGAAATCTAAAATAGGTAGGAAGTGGCGTAGTTAGCGCGGAGCTGGCCGCTTCGCCTAGAAACACGTTGGAGCGTCTTTTCTTTTAGCTTTTTCTGTTTGTGGGCCTGATGGAGGAGCCTAAGGTCTTGAAAAACAGGTTTAGGGCTGGGGGAGTTATTGCTACGTTTGCCCTTGCGACCTAGAGCTGTTTGCAGACTACGAATTGGCCGAATTAGCACTGACTCCGGCCGGCTCCTAATTCCCGAATTTCGGCAAATTATCGGACGGATTTTCTAGAGGAAAGCGTTAAAAATATAAGAAAAAATATAAAAAAAATAAATTTAGACGATATCCCTAATAATATCCGGTTTTGCTGAGGATATCGCCTTGTAATTTTGTAAAGCAAAGCAAAGCAAAGAATAACAGCGCAATCGCGCCCTGATTGGGGCCCAATGGCGCAATGGGGCCCCGATCGGGGCCCGACGGCACAATCGGGCCCCGATCCCGGGCCCGATCGGGCCCCGACGGCGCAATCGGACCCCGATCTTGGGGCCGATCGGGGCCCGACGGTGCAATCGGGGCCCGAGCGGGTCCGAACGGTGTAATCCCACCAGCCCCAGCTAATTATATTATAGTTCAACGCCGATTTTCATTAACATATGGCCTTACAACTATACCTAGCAAAGCTAGGCGAAGGCAACTTGGTATAGTTGATGGGGCCCAACTGAGCTAGGCCCCGATCGGGAATCGACGGTGCAATCCCCGACCTGGGCCCCGTAAACCTCGCAAACCGTCTTCATAAAGCGCTCGTCCAACTTAGTGTGTTGGAACCTTTCCCCAGGACTGCCCTATAGCTCTTGCAGAACCTGATAATTAGAAACTTCGTGGAGTGCTTTTGGAACCTTACCCCATAGTCCTCGTAACCTTATGGAACTCTTGGAACCCAAAGCCCACTAAGTAATACATTTATTCTGCTGCATAGTGAGTCTCGTAGCAGCATGATTTGATTTGCCACAAAACAGTGAACGTGTGCTGAAAACCATTGACTTTGGTTTTGCTTAATGTTCCGCCCATGAACAAAACGATTTTCTGCACCCTCAATTTGCTGCTCCGGTGACATATTACTTCCCCGTAGAAAATGTCTTGTGGAACCTTGTGGAGCTTGTGGAACTGTTATAAATCCTTATGGAACTCTATGGAACGTTATGAAACCTCAAAGCCCTTATGGAACCAAACCTTGCAAAACCTTGCTCCACCCCGCAGCCCTTATAGAACCTGTGAAAATCTGATGGAACCCGGGTGGAACCCGGGTGGAATCCTGGTGAAATTTTATTTTAAACTACCCCGGACAGCTCCATAGTCCTTGCAGAACCTGGTGAAATTGTGGTGGAACCTTCATGGAACCTTATCTCAAACCACCCCGGACCACCCCGTAGCCCTTGCAAAACCTGGTGGAATCCTCGTAGAATCTTACCTTAGGACCACCCCATAGCCCTTGCAGAACCTGGTGGGACCCTGGTGTAACCCTCGGGGAATCTTACCTCAAACCACCCCGGACCACCCCATAGCCCTCGCAGAACTTGGTGGAACCCTGGTGGAACCCTGATGGAACCCTGGTTTGATGGAACCCTAACTCTGGTGGGAACCCTCGTGGAACCTTACCTCAAACCACCCCGGACCACCCCGCAGCCCTCGCAGAACCTGGTGGAACCCTGGTGAAACCCTGCTGGAATCCTCGTGGAACCTTGTTTTAGGGCCGTCCCGGACTACCCCGAACCCTATCTGGGCTGAGACCCCAAAGCTTTTAATTGTTGGGGAAAAAACAAAAAAAAACACTGCAAAACCCCAATAACCCTCCAAAGGGACCCCGCAACTACTTTTCATCACGGGAAAACACCAGCGGGACCACAAAAAAAAACACTACGAAACCCATAAGAAACACGCAAAAAACAATAATCGGGAACCCAAAAAAAACTCCACAAAACCCCAATTACCACCCGCCTGGACTCCGTTACTACTTTTCATCACGGGAAACCACCAGCGGGAACATAAAAAAAAAAAAAAAAAACACCATGGAACCCATAAGAAAAACACAAGGGATCGCCACAAAACCCCAATTGCCACAAGCCCGGACTCCGCTATTACTTTTCGTCATGAGAAACCATCAGCGGGAACATTAAAAAAGAAACCATAGAACCCACAAAAAAAACATAAAGGACCACCACAAAATTCCAATTGGAGCACAACAAAAAGCACCCCGGCGGGCCGGTTTTTCAAAATTATTTTTCGTTTAGACCGCGAAATTCAAATTATTTGCCCCCAAACCTCCCCGGGACTCCTTAAAAATTAAAAAAAAAAAATGTGTTAGTATGTTAGTACTCCCCCTCAAAAAATAACCGTTAGTGTTCCCTATAACACTCTTGGAGCGAAAAAAGGAAGGAAGAAAATACAAACAGAAGGTTAGTAGGAAGGGCAGACGGAGGAGAGGGGGTTGCTGTAGGCTAGATATTTGTCTGCGAGGTAGGGGGTTTGGGTAAGGGTCAGAGGTTGGGAATGGTTTTTGTTAGGAGGAGGTTAATTAGGAGGGGGTGTTACAAGAAATAATAACGAAGAAGCGAAATAAACAAAATATAAAAATAATGTTATAATAGCCATGCTAATCATCGTAATACATACACCTATTTAATTTTCTTATTTTGCTTAGACTAATAAATCATAATACAAATAATTGTAAAATCATTTTATTTCAAAATCCATAAAATTATCCCCCAAAATATAAATTCAAATAATTTAAATATAAAAAAAACAAAATTATTTAGTTCGTATCTTTATATTCATTATTAATAATCCAAAACCATTCCCAAAAAACTAATAAATTTTATAAAAATAAAATATATTAATATTATATAATTTTATATATTAAATTTAATAAATAATAATATTTAGAAAATATATATATTATTGTCAAAATATCAATAATACATTAATATGTAATTTCAAATTAAATTAATAATTTTCTAATATTTTTATAATTTCTCAATATTATTATTATATTTTATGTTTTTATATACAAATATATATAATATAATTAAGAAAAATAATAAAATAATCAATTCATAAAATTAATTATTATAATTTTCAATCAAGTATTTAAAAATAAAAATATATTTCTTCTACAATTAATTCAACCCCCCAAAATTCCCTCAATTCAAACCTAATTATATAAATATAATAATAATATATCATTCAATACAATTATATATACCTAAATACATTATATCAACAAACAATTATTATTCATATTTTCAATTATATATCAATTTATATTTCCATGCCCAAATAACCTATTACAATTTTCATATATATATATATGAATAAAAATAAACAATAAACTAAAATACTATATCTATAGCAATCTCCACATCCAGCTCCATTTTTTTCAATCTGGATACATATGTATAATATGGTCGGTGTACAAACAATATCGATCTGACAAACTAACTATTTGTTTTCAAACAGATATTGCACGGCGCGAGTTGCAGCCTGCTGCTCTGCCTCCTTCTTCTTGGCACCTTTGCCTGTAAACTTCATCTGCGCTCCTAGGAGCTGTCTAATCAGCGAAGAGCTCAGACCCGACTTCACAGCATGTAAGTACCGTAGTCTCCCGCTCACCCGCCCACAGGATCTGACAACATCAAAGGTGATCACCTTTAGGAACCTTGAAGAAAAATGGCGGGCAGAGAAACCAATAGGTGAAAAGGTCAGCTTTGGGCAGGTGAGCCCTGGTGCTCAGAGCTCATAACGTCAAACCAAAAACTTTCCAGGAGGCCTTGACCAATTGACTTCTCCTCTCGACCAATTGACCCCCCCAAGTGGAGTGAGTGGGCCCACATCCTGCGAAGCCAAAAAGCCCCGGCAGTCCTTCCCAAGGAAACGCCAGGATGGCCTCCCAAGCTCCTTCCACCTGGCCCACCTGGCGAAAAAGTCCAAGCAATCAGAGGTCCCTGAGCTTCCATTTGATAGATTCCCTTTAAAACCAACAGGGGGGAACAAATATTCTAAAGCAAATGGAAGTGAGTTTTTGTTTGTCTTCCGGTTGCTCCAGCCCCTCTCACCCCTCTCACAGCCAGGAGGACACAGCCAGGAGGACACTCTTGGTGACTTGTTTTTTGCGCTCGTAGAAGGACTGACGACTTCCCAAAGCTTGAGCCTTGCAAAAGGTCCCACGATCGGCGCCTGGTAGGACATATCCCCCTTCCGAATAGGCCGGCCCAACCTGCCGCACAAGAGAAAAAAAACAAATTTTGTGAGGCCAGAAAAGCGACCGGGCGCTTTTGTTTGGCTTATGGGTCTCGAACCCTTAGAGCACCCAAAGGCGCAATGCGGGTACGGTGTTTAGGTGTTTCAAAAGGAATCCAAGGAAAGCCATTCTGTCATGTTGAGCCCAGGCCTCCAGTAGCCAGGAACAACATGCACTTTGGTATTTGCTTTTGGAGGGGCGAGTGATTTTGAATTCCGCCCAGGGAGAAACTGGCAGCGTAGACGTAGTCTTTGTAGAGTTTTTGGACAAACGTTTTGAGGTTCAATGAGGATACCACCAAACCGCCATTGCGGAAGGGTGCCGCACCGATTCTGCGGATACATGGCCAAGGGCCTAGCTTTCTCAAGATGGTAGTCTTCTAAAACCAAGTGGGTGGTCTCCTTTGGCTGCGCCTCCCACTAGCATGGCATGTGAGAGTGGGGCCACTTCAAGAGGAGACCGATCTTCCAGGTAGCATCCCACAAATGGTACCCAAGGCCAAAACAAGACCAACCCCTTTTTTCATTGAAAAAGCAGTCGTCTCTGCCCGCTGCCGGCACTTCTGGCAGTTGTGAACATTGCAAACCCATCCCCCCAACTCAACGTCCAACCCAGGCCAATGCAGCCCAAGCCAACCAACTGGCCAACAAATGGGAAAGAACCAACACATGCACTCTGGATAACTGGCAAAGATGTGCTTAGCGATTCTCAGGGCTTCAACATGTAGGGTTTCGTTCCTCAGAGGCACAACAACCTTTGCTTGGATACCCCCGTTTCCGTCTTGTAGGCGCCCAACGGCTTGTTGTTGAAGCAACCACATTGTTCGTAGTGACCTAGCCCGCCCCACAAAAAGGCACCTAAAATATCAAAGAATCAAACTCCCCCCTTCTCCAATTCCATTCTTCTTACGGCCAGGAAATGCAACATCCAAGGTATCTAAGTGGCTTCCCTCGAGCCTCTGCTGGATCAGCTGCTGCAGGCTGTGCTTGCTGTTCTCCACCTGCCCACAACACGTGAAAGTTTCGGAGGCTCCAGAAGATACTTGGCCCAACAAATGATGTGACAAGCAGGAAACACTATACACTTGATCACATGTAGCTGCCCGGAATAGTTTAGCCGCCTCACTCGGGATGATGCTTGGCCTTTGGGTTTGGGCAAGGAAGAGGTTCTAGGGATTCAGCAAGCCTGCGTTTCCGGACAGCCTTGCTAAACCTCAGTTGTTCAGTGACCTGGAGAAAAAGGGAACCCTTTTGGCACGAGGCGCCTCCACGGTCGGTTGCGTGGGTGAGCTGGGCCTGCCGCCCAACCACTAGTGAAAAGGGCCCATAGGGCAGGATATTCAAGAGTGCAAACACGGCCAGACCATTCACCCTTGCACCCCTTTCTTTCCACTCCACAAGCCGAGCAAGCCAGTTAAGCCAGCCTCGGGGACGTGGAAACCCGTGAGCCCATTCATTTCCACAGTGTGTTGCACACTACGGACGTGGGAGCACGCGAGCCCATCCATTTCCCCGCAGGGCCGGCCAACCAGCAAGCAAGGCAAGGCACCTGTGTGGAGCCCTCAAAGGTACCCGGACCTCCACAGACCGCAGTCCACAAAAAAGTTAACCAAAAAAGGAGTGGTCAACTAAGTCACCTTTTCAGTGACCCCGGTCCCAACGGAGCACAGCTCGGTCACGCCCGCAAACGGCTAATGACCTTACTGTGGCCAGACTGTACATTGAGCCCACCAACAAATGATGGACCGACCGGTGACCCAGTCGTTAGCGATCCCATGCATCCCAAGGGGATACACCTCCTTCGCGGGAGGCCCCTAACACTGGTAGGGAGGAACCGACGGTCTTACCCACCGTGAGCTTAGCTACCCACGCTGAGCATTGACCGTTAGCCAACGCATTGCTGCGTCGATCCCTCCTCGAGAATCGAGGTTCGCTCACAGGTTCACCGGCCTTGCCTGTTCACTCACCCCATCTACGGTCGCAGCCGACCTCCGGGGCAAGCTAGGTGAGTCCCGTCGGACCCGTACCACGCACGCGCCGATCGGGGGAAACCCCGCACGACCACTGCAAAAGTCCGAAGACAATCACAGCGTGAAAGGTGGAGCTCTCGGGCATGGCCCAAACACCAGCCTCAACCTGGCGAAAGAGGTGGGCAAGCACACGGAAAACAGGTGACGGAGGAGGCCGTCCAACCGGCAGTAGTCAGGGCTGCGGCGGGCAACCGACGCCTGAAGTCCAAGGAAAACAGCATGCTGCTGTTTTAACAAGTGCTGGACGGGCCGCATGAGAGGCTCAATGGGGATGCCGGCCTGGTGAACATCGAAGACCTGGTTCCACTGGTCGGCCGCATGGGCCAGGCCACAGCAGGGTGGAAGCGAGGAACCATCAGGGCCGGCAAGGTGGTTGGATCCAGCAGGAGTGGTAGCACGCTGAAGATGCCGGAAGACCTGGAGGGCCTCCTCAGCACGCTCACAAAGATGGGCCGTACCTTCAGGGGAGAGATCCGCCTCAGTAAACGGGAAGTGAAGATCCCGGGCAAGCCTACGAAAGCGGCGTAGGGTGTGATGCGTGGTAGAGGAATGAAGGGCAGCAGCAACAGGCAAACGCACGCCGCTAGAGAGCTCCCTGGAAAGGGAAAGGAGGCGCGTGTGCAACGCAACCGGATGAGAGCCGGGCAAGGGCTTCGGGCGGCCAGGCCACCCCCCTCAACCGGGTCAGTGTCCTGCAAGAAGGGCATCTCAGAGAGGAGGGCGTCCAAGGCACCCAAGGCCGCAAAGGGCAGAGAGCCCAGGGCCCGAAGAACCAAAGGGTCACGCGACAACATGGCCAAGACCGCAGACAGCCAGCAAGGACCAAGAACGCAACGCAGCACAGGAACCAAGCACCACGGCAAGGGGAGCCGCGCACCAAACCAGATGGGGCTGCCGGGGGTGAGTACCCGGCTTTGTGGACGCCCAACCGGCAGATGGCTGCCTAGCAGGGCCCTGGGCGCACGACTCCCTCAGGCGAAGCTAGGACCGAGACGCCTAAAAGGGAACCCTTTTTTGGGAAGACCATTTTTAGTGGGGCAGCCACCAAAAACAAAGGGAAAAAGGGTGCCACTGAACAACTGAGAAACAGAAACTGCCCCTGATGGAAAGAAACGCGCCACGCAGGCTTCTGGATGCGGCCCAAGCGCAGACACCTCGCCACCAATCATCTGCAGCAGGGAAAGTTGAAACTTCTCGTCGTCATCTAGCCTCTCCACTCCTGAGCCGTGCGAACCACACACGCACAAACAAAACAGCTCAGACTACAATCTCACATGACCGAATGCACATCCTAGCCATAGTCGGCCTGACGACAGGTACATTTCGAATCCATCTAGCATCTGCTAGACAAAGAGTGTACAATCTCTTCATCCGGCCAACAAGGGAACTAATCATGTGTCCCAGCAAACTTGAATCTTCCTGCGGTTTCCGTTGCAGGCACCTCAAAAGCCAAACGGGGGCATTGCAGGTTGCTTGCCTCTGAACCGTGGATGCTTAAAGCCCTGACACCACTCTCAAACTTGTGAGAAGCCTCTCAAAGTCGAACGACTTCAAGGCACGTGGAAAATACGAAGAAACCCCAAAGCTAGCGAAGGCCTTCAAACACACCGTGTTTTGACTGCAACCATCCCTAAATGGGAACAAGCCTGGCAAGGTGAAATTTCTATGCCTCCCTGTGGCCACAAAGGCATCCTGTTTTTGGTAGTTCATTGCAAGGGAAGCCATACGACCAAAGCACAATCCGACATGAGAAACTGGTACGTCATAGAACTGCACGGGCAATATCTCATGGCCCAGCGCGTTATCCTTCCAAGTCACCTACCTCAGCTTTGCCCCTCCGACACAAAAACATGATTGATTCTGGCCCATTTTTGGTGAATCTTTAGGACCTAGCATTACTTCGAACAGACTGCCAGTCACGGCAAAGGCTCGTACCAGCACCTTGTCGCCCTCTGCAAGCCGAAGGGGAGCCGACTTGGCTGGCAACTCAGGCGCCACTAGCTCTGGAAGAAGCCCTGAGACGACGCCTGGGTGCAAGAGTCTGAAAAAAAAGCGAGGAAACCACAGTACCTGGCTTGCCCATTGGATTTCGGTGGTGATTGCAGAATCCTTGGGTAGAACCTTGCTCCCCGGAAAATGAGCGGAGGACCCAATGCCATCAAAGCAACGAGCTGCTATACCGACAATTCTCAAGGCATTTGGCAAATCAAGGGAGCTTGGGCTCCTGGTGTGTACCCCTTGGTCTTGGTTTCAAACCTAAGGGACACGACCCACTGTTTGGAGGGTAGCCTTGCTTCCTGAGTGGACTGGCCAAAAGTCGGCAAACTTTCGGTTTGCGACCAAAACGGCAACCAAACCCGAAAAGTGACTCAAGCTCCATACTGTGCACCTGAGAAACCCTGGAATGCTGATTCCCCTTTTATTCACCAACAACCAATGGTGTCTCATTGCTGCGCGGTGCGAAATGGATTTCGCAACCATCCACAGTAGGGGGTGAGGTGCAAACCCCAGACAAAATCAAGCCACAGCCGAGGTCCACGAAGGCGGCGTTGTGGGACACAGAGACCACCCGGCCCTCGTGCACTCTGCCGCCCCGCTCCACCTCCTGACGCTTGCTGGCCGACTCACGCACAAAAAGGGCCATGGCTAGGTCCCCTAGCGATCGTGCCCTTTCTACCCCTTTTTTGGTTGAGGGGGGAAAACCCCCTACTAAAATAGACTACAGAAAAAAATCGGGTACCCTTATTCTAAGCTCTCAAATCTGGAGGACATAGCTCGAAAATGGCAGCGCTGCTCAAGCACTTCTGAAGTTCTTTGTGGTTATTCCCCCCAAAAGGTGCAACTGTTTAAGGCAGTAAGCACACAGGCATCGCTACTACTTCGCCATATATCGTAGTTTTGAGGTTCTTCTGTGATGTTGACGCCAGATTTAAACCAAACCTGGCGCGCACACGGGGTTGTTCACCGCACAAAAACAAAAAATAGTTCCCCCCCTCCATCGAACAACGGACACCCCCCAATCCAAATCCACCAGCTAGGCTTCAACTGAGATTGTCTCTGACTCTCCAAGTGATGGAACTTCTAGAAAAACCGTCTCCATTCTTTCCAGCGATCCTTTCGCCAACACCTCCGGCAACCCAGGGAACGAGATTGAAAAGAATGGGACACCAACCCTAGACCTCCCAACAGCAAAGTTCATGGGTCACTCCGGGTTCCCGAGATGTCCAAGCTCGAAACATCAATCTTCGAACTGCCCCAAAGGCGATGCTCAAACACGGCAAAGGGCCCAAATGGTTGGTTCCCTTCTGGTCCTCACCCCATACTAGTCACACTCAAACACTGGTACAATCAAAATCTGGTATCAAAAGAGTCGGCCCAAAACCATGCAAAAGACAGAAAGGGCAACCTCCAACTTCGGAACAGCATGATGCTCAAATTGTGTGGGTGAATAATTATCATGGAGGGATTCTTCGGACTGGTCCTCCAGATTCATCCGCATGTGACACAGGGGAAATGCTCCCAATATCTCCCCGAGGGTAGGTTAGACCTCACCTTTCGGGCTGATTCTAGATGAGCTGATTTTGTTCAGCGGGACTTAGGAAGCAGTGTCTTGGTTTGCCCATGTTGGCCTGTTCGCCTTTTGCTGAAGGACTGCTTTCGGCTGCCAGACTCGCTTCCTGAGTGCATGTGCCACAAAGAGTCTGCCCAGATAGGCTTTGAGGTGGATTGGGGTATCCTGGGATGATGGGGATACCACCTGGGCCTATGCATCAGTAAAATGGCAGCCAAACCCGAGAAGTGACAAAAGTTGCGAGTTGCGGACCTCACAACAGTGAGGCCCGAACTCCAGTGCAGTACTTCCCACGCTGGATGGACGAAATCCAGCCATTTCGCACCACTTTGACATGGTTGACACTACTTGTTGGCACATTACCCGGATCGACTCAGAACCCAGGGTTTTTTCAACGCCGCCGCGTTCGGTTTCGCGCCAAACCCAAAAAAACAACAAACAAACAAAAAAACACGGAGCGCGGCGCGCGGCTCCTGGACACCGAGCCTGGGCACGGCGTCCGGGCGGAGGCCCAGGGCCATGATGCCCTTCCCGAGGCTCCGCCTGCGCGCGAAGACCTGCGCCACTTCCCCGCTGCGCAGGGCCTGGGCCTCGCGCCTGGGGCCAGCAGCGCGGGCCCCGGGCCGCACTTCGCGGCGAAAAAAATCGGAGGGGGACCCCCCTTGGGCGAACGGATGGGTTGCGTCTATGAGTTCTTCTATATAACCCCAATCCCAATCTTGATTTTTGTTTAGGCCCTGGCGAACATTCAGCGAGTGTTTAGTGTGTTCGGCTCTCTCTTCTGAGTATCGTTCCTCATCATGAACTAGCTTTATCCACGGTAAGAATACATGGGAAATCATGGGAACGATGATGAGGTAATGCAAGGATAAGGTCAAGTGAGAGATGGTAATGGTGGGTCACTCGTTCGCACGGCGGATAAGTCTCCGAGAGATACAAAGGACATTCAGGAATGTACCCCTGCCATAGACCCCATACCAAGATGCAACCAAACAACTGCAACGAGGATTTTTCGAGCTACTCAGTGACTCAGGGGCAGGTGAATTTGCGAATGTCCGTTGATATTGAAAGGGTCAGTCCTTGCAACCCAGGAAGCCTGAGGCCCTGCGGACGCAGCAAACAAGAAACTGCCTCGTTTGCTCAGGCCCCTGCTCCCTTCGTACCCAAAAGCCAGCCAGCTCTGTGATTGCCACGGAAATAAAATGGATGCGGAAACATGTGCCCGGCACCAAGACCCGGACACAGGCCAGAATAGATTCAGATGAACACGGTTTCGGCCTCACCCCAGTTGCTCCATTCACGCCGGCAAGAAGGAACCCATCTTGCGATTTGGGGTTGAGCTTTGTTCGGGAACCCACTAAACAAGCTGCAAAACCCTCAGCTGTTGCACCCCTACAAAACCAATCTGCTTGAGTCTGGTCCATATTTAGTCAACCTTCACGTCTAACACAATTTCAAACGAGATCCCAGAAATAGAAAGCGAGACGCCACTAAACAAATGGGCGTGTTTCACATTGCGAACCCCTGGACATGCAGTGGTCTCTCAGTTTCTCCCTCAAGGACCAACCTGAAAAGGGCAGGCTTCGGGTAGGGGGAAAAAACTGAAACCCAACTAGGTGACATTCGGCCCTACCCTTCTCCACAAAGGTTCTTGATCAGAACCCCTCTTAGGTTCTAAGAAGCCTGCCTGTGTGGCATAAACAAAAAATGCTTTCAGTGATTCAACACTCCATTCCTGTCAAGGGCAGGTTTGGCCAAGGCGATGCTTCAAACCAAAAAGGGACATCCACTCGGGACCGATTCCTATGGACGCCTGCGCACATGGGGCCATTTCTGGGTCCTCCAGATTTGAGAGGTTAGAAGAAGGGTACCCGATGCTTTTTTTTTCTGTCCTCTATTTTAGTCGGGTTTCTCCCTCTCCCCCGAAAAAGGGGTAGCGAAGGGCACCGATCGCTGGGGGACCTAGTCTTCGCGGCCGCCCGGCCGCCCAGCTGGGGTGCGGGTCACGGCGGCCGCCCGGCCGGGTCCCCAGGCCTTTCCGACTCCGAGAGCTGCTCCGGGTTCAGGCGCCCGATGGCGTCGCTGCCCACGTCCAGGAAGATGCCGCTGGAGGACACTGTGGTCACCATGCCTCGCAAGCGTGAGGCTTGGCTCTGGCCGCTCGCGAGGCACTTGAAATAAGTGTCCCTTTTTTGGGGAAAATAGATGGATATCCTGGTGGACTTGTGACCTTAGGTGTCCTTGTTGGGAAAATAGATCTCCCTGGTGGATTGAGCCACCAGGGAAACCAGGAATCGCCCTCGATTTTTCGACCAAATCGACCAAAAAGGACACCTATGCTTGTGACCTGCTTGGTCTGCAAGAGCCTTGGCTTGAAGTTCAAGGCCAGGGACCCGGGGTTAAAGCGTGTTTTTGTTGGGGTGGTGGGCCTCGCCCCTACGCTTGAGCAGCAGTTGTCCCAATGAAACAATCGTTGAAGTGAAGACTTCGAGTCTTTTCAAACACAATCTCCTGTTGGCTTTGATGGGAGCCGCTTTGCCGTAAAGTTTGAACTGCCTGGGCCTCAGAAGTCAAACATGTCGAAAGGAAAGCCCACAACACCAAAGGCATCTCTGAAGTGCAGAAACCTGACACTAAATAAGCAACATAACACAACCACCTGACTTTGTGACACTGCTTTCTCCGCTCAACTGTTGGTGTCCGTTCGGCCACTGAATCGGCACAGGTGTACTGGACTGGGGCAGGGAACCTCATGAACAAAGGCCGTGCAAGGCGCAACGGGCCCAGCACGCTAGTGCGACAACCAGGTCGGCCTGGACCCGGAAAGTCGGGGTCACCTGATTGACATTGATACTAAGCCAAGGCTTCGGGTCAGACACTCGAAACATCGGGAATGACAAGCAGGTCCGAATTTCTGGGTCTGAGTCAGCTGCCCCACCAAGAGAAACTACTAGCGTGGTACCAAATGCCCATGCTGCATTGAGGCGTGCACAAATGACTGTCGCCCCGCTCAGCTTTCTCCACAAACCTTGCTTGGTGAGGAAAGCAATAATCATGGGGGCTTGGGGGGGGGGTTTGGGAGCCCAAACAAGCCCCTATGCAGCTGTAAATAAGGCCTTATTTAAGGCTCCCACCAGTTGGATGGCTTGAAAAAAAAATCCATTTATCATTCCCTATGGAACCAGCAAGGTTAAACCTTGCTGCTTGGTATTCGGAAAGCAATAGCTCATGTTGACCGCTGACGTCCTAAGCGCAATCCCACGGGCTCCGGGGCCAATGTCCAACGAAGTCTAAGGGCTTTTGTACTACACCCTTGGGAAATGACCCATGGTTCAGAATAACACGGTTTTGTCCGGACATGTGCCTAAATGGAGTCAATACCCAGTGGGTGTCTTCCCAGGGTGTAATACAAAGACCCTTAGAAGGCTGCCAACCAACGAGAAAGCATGCGAAGGATCAGCATCATTCACCCGGGTCAGGGGATTCACCCATGTAATGTCAGGCGGGTGAGGATATGCACTTTGGCCTTGCTTCAACCAATTGTGCCAGCCAAAGGCCCAACTGAATTTCACATGTGCCAGGCCAGTCCCTGGCTGCTATTGCAGTAAGTGGAACGGACCCAAGACTGACCTCTCTGGCGATTGGAATCTGGACAGACGTGACAGTCGTGAGCCCAATTTTTGGAAGCCAAGAAATCCACGTTCCTGAGTGCACCATCCTCTTAGCCAATCAGATGCATCTGTGCTTTTGTGAGGGCACCTTGGTTGGCTTCAAAGGGAAACTCAAGCGACCCCCCCAGTTCTTTGGGGACCCGGTCCCCCGTTTACGACGATCCAAACCTTGGTTGCTGCAACGACCCTGCGAAAAGTTTTTAACTTTTTGGGGGCTTAGTGGAACCCAACTTGCTAACAAAACTAACAAGTTAAAGTCAGACAGATCCGTTGCCCAATAGTTAAGACAGCTCCCCTCAGCCCAAAGAACCCAGAAAGAAGAGGTTTCGTGCCATAAGAACAAAGGTCAGCTTTGCGCCGTTGGGTGGGACACTTCCACAATGCACGCTGTGGGGTATTGAATCTCGGTGATTTGCTCCCCGCCTGTGAGCGGCGTCACCCCATCCACCGGCAGTTGCGCCAGGGGGATCGCAGGCTGTGGTCGGGGCTCAAGGCCCAAACAGACCTTGCCCTTGTCACCTGACCAACACACATGACATCCATACTGTGGATGGTTGCGAAATCCAATTCGCACCACCTAAGAAACCATGAATGAGACACCATTGCTTGTTGGCATTTGCAGGAGAATACACATTTCAGGGTTTCTTAGGTGGTGCGAATTGGATTTCGTTCATCCACAGTAGGTGGCCTTTTGGAAAAATAGATCCTGGTAAATGGAATACACCCCATCTAAACCAGTGGAACCCATCTATTTTTATCCAAGCCAACCTACAAAGGCCACCTATTGTCCTCTTAGACGGTGTCTCAACTGCCATTGCCTAAACATCATCCTTTCGGTTTCCCAATGGAACCAGGGTCCGGATGTGGAACACCACCCGTCAGGACCATTTTGTGTGGGTCAGCCGTCAGCCAATTCTGGCTTGAGAAACCTTTGGGAGCGTCCGGTTCTCAAAACTTGTCAGCTGCTCCTGTGGGCCTCAAATTGGGTTCGACCCTGGGCCCCCTCCGAAAGAAAAGGGCGCCTCAAAAAAGAATCCAAGTCAAAGAGAAGGCGCGAGCAATTTCTGGCATAACTATTCCGGTACGTTTTTGCTTCTCTTTTTGACACCCTCCCGAAAGGAAAACAACATGGCACCGACAAAAAGAACATGCTCCAAGCTTTGACACGCGCAGTGTCCCAAGTACTTTACCGTTCGTAGAGTCCACCCGCCCGCCAAAACGACAAGGCTCCTTTCATCCCAGTAAGCCAAAAAGCGACAAGCGCGGGGTTCTCACCCAGCCAAGGCGCATTTGGTCCACACCTTGGATGGCCCGACTGACCTACCCAAACTCAGGTTATTCTGAAAGTTAACAAGCTCAACGTCAAAGGGAACAGACGGTTGCCAGATCCTCAAATTCTAAGGTGGAAGCCACTATTCCACAGCGACAACACATTTCCAAGAACAGTGCAAGGATAGAAGTCAAAGCAACAATCGACGTTGAACAACATGCAAGGTTTTGGGACAAATTTACCCCTCGAAATGGTTCGAAACCCAAGGGCACGCCTCAAAGAGGGAACCCTCCCAAGTGGCAACAATGCGATTTTTGGGGCTTCCCTGTGAAAAAAACAGCCCAGAACAGCGTAAAGCACGGTGTTTTGTCGCTTTCTTCATGTTAAAACCACATCTCCACCAACACCCGGTGCTGAAAAAAGCGAGGGGGGGGGGGGCAGGTAGCCTACTTTGTCAGTGGTTGGTAACCCTATTCTCTACTTAGGGGACATATAACAGGGGCAAATGTGTGATTACCAGGACGAATCACTTGCTGGGTAGCCTGCCTCCTTCTCCCTCTGAGAAGCGAGGGGGGTGAAATCTGTGATAAGGACGAATCACTTGCGGACGGTAGCCTGCCTCCTGGACTGTCTGAGAAATATGGGTTTTTTGGGAGGCAAGGCTCGTAGGTGGTCACTGCGGCACCCACCGGCAGCTCTGCCAACTCGGGCACTGCCCGCAGCAACGCCTGAGGATCGGAGACTGTTTTTTCCGATTTTTGCGAGGGGTTGATTCTCTCCTCATTCTTTTGGGGGGTTGATTTTGCTAGGGGTTGATTTTCCTAGGGGAAACACAAAACCATGGTTGAGTTGATTCGGTTTTTGGCTTTAGTGGTGGACCATATAGCCCACAAGTGAAACTTTGATCTGAGGGACTCTAGGGGTTCATTCCTTGTCCATTCTTTTCAACCATCGTGTCTCTCTCTTCTTTGGACCAGCTGTTTCCCCTGGATTTCTGATGGTTTTCCGGAAAGAAGGATCCCTGGTCTTGGCCCCCAAGCAGAAGGATTCCCCTTTAGGTCCTCCAGACTTGAGAGGGTACCAGATTCTTGTTCTGTAGGGGAGCCCTCGCCCAAAAAAGGGTCAAAGGGCACTACTGGGCCCCTGTACTGTGGATGGTTGCGAAATCCAATTCGCACCACCTAAGCAACAAATGGTTGACACCTTTGTTTGTTGGTATTTACGGGGGAATCGACATTCTAGGGTTTCTGAGATGGTGCAGGATTTTGTCCATCCACAGTAGGTTTTCTGGATTTGAGAGGATAGAATAAGGGTACCAACTTTTTTCTGTAGTCTATTTTAGTAGGGGCCCTCCCCCGAAAAAGGGGAGAGAAGGGCAGTACTGGGAGACCTAGTTTACTTGGAGAGCTGGGAGGGGCGTGTGTTGCTTCTTGGAGGGGCGCCCCTCCAAAATGGCAGTTTCCAATCGTGTCCCTCAAAAAACACACACACACACAGGGGGTCAGCTTCCCTCTAATTGGGAATCTACAAGGGGAACCCCACGTATACTTTACCCGGTCCATACATACCATACCCACATACACTCAGCGTCTCCCTAATTGGTGGTTTGGAGCAAGCTGGTTTGGCGGTGTTTTGGGGTGGTTTCACATTTACCCTCAACAAGAAATAGAGGTTCAAAACGCCAAACCACCACTCCAAACCACCAATTACCTTTCCTCCCAGTTGAAACCATCGTTCAGACCTCGATTGTTCTCTGCAACAATCCATCGAGCGGCTGGAATCCCAAAAAGGGTTGGCCTTGTCTTGATGGTAGGCTTCATTTTCTTTCAAAACCCATCCAATGGGAGCTGGGACCCGCGGACAATCCTAATAATTGGTCGGCTCATCCTTGTCTTTACCTTTGTTCACAGCATCAAATGGAGGGTTGGTGCCTCCTGTTCGACGTGGCGGGCGTTTCCCTGCGGAACACTGTTTTTGCACAGCTGCCCAAACGTCCCTTGATTTCCACAACACTCCCTTGGTTTTCTCTCTCTCCCTCTCCCTCTCCCTCCCTCCCTCCCTCCCTCCCTCCCTCTCTCCCTCCCTCCCTCCCTCCCTCCCTCCCTTCCACCCTCAGCCCTCAAACCCTCAGACTCTCAAACCCTCAAACCCTCAGACCCTCAGACCCTCAAACCCACTCCCTCCTTGCTGAGTCTCTGCGGCCTTTCCCTTGTCTGTGTCGGCTGTGAGGGCGGCCTCTCGGCCAGCCAGCAGCAGGCCTGAAGAAGCGAGCGCGCGAGCGGAGGGAGATCAAACACACATCTAGGTCCTCCAGTAGAGAGGTTAGAATAAGGGTACCAACTTGTTTCTGTAGTCTACTCTAGTATGGGAACCCTCCCCCAAAAAAGGGGAGAGAAGGGCACTACTGGGGGACCTAGACACGATGCTTCAGAGATTCATGGCGTGCGCAGTTCGCGCAGATCGGGAAATCATGTCATTCATGGAAACCAAAGCACAAACCGACAATTGTGGTTGTGCTGATCTGCCCGACCCATGGCAGGAAAAGCTGAAAGTTCTGGAGTTATTTTCTGATTTGCCCGACCCTCGTGCAAAATTACCAGAGCAATCAGACACATCCCAGATCTCAGAACATACCTTTTGTTGTTTGATATTTGTCTGCTTGCCACTCCCCTCTCCAAACGTCAGAAAGTTTCACAAACAAATGAGCTGTTCGGGTAGCATGGCACACGTCGGACAAGTCAAAATGTCGACTTGTAGGTGGTCTTGCGCTGGGAAACAATACGAAATACTTGGCTGCCAGACACCCAGAGCGACAGTTCTTTGAACTCCTCACTTGTAAGTTGTTTGGCTGCTCCGCCTAAGGTCAGAGTCACAGCAAAAAAAACACATGCTCAAATCGGAACCGTCAGATTGCGGCAACCGCACAAAGGCCAGCAACAATCATCTGGGTTGCCCTCAGATCCCCCGCCAAAAGGTTCATAGAAATCCGGGGCCCCCAAAACCCACTCAACAGCAAGGCCTTGCTTGCCTTTCAGGGCTTCCAGCTTACATGATTTCCACTCCCAAACCACCTCCGGCGAAACAGGGTGCACTTTTTAGAGCAACAGCCAAGGTTCTTGTAGAAACTAGTTCTTTCATGTTCGCTTCTGGTTTTTTTTCTGCTCCGAACTTTGCTGCTGCCCCCCTCCTCCCAGCCCGCCCCTTCCCAGCTCCCCCTCCCAGCCCCCCCTCCCAGCCCCCCCCCCCGGCCGGTCTCCTGGAGCTTCGCAGCCGAAGTCCACATGAGTGCCCCAGGAGCTTTGCCGGGTCACGATTCCTGCGACGCAAAGGGAATTTCGAAAGTCACTCCAGCGTGGATGGGCCAAAACAAGCAACCAAACTTTTGACGCCAACTAACATGGAGCCTGACGTTCGGGGTCCCTTTAAAAGGACACTTGTCCAAACCAGGCCCCCCGTGTCAGGTTTCATGTGAATTGGTGGGAGGGTATTTACCACTAAAAGTTGAAACTCCATGACCTCAGGGAGCGAGGAAATGACCTGCTCCCGAAGGGCCAACCCCCAGTAGGCGGACACTTTTGGGGTTGGTTAATCTAAATGAACTCACCAGTTTGGGAGGCTGCCCCATTCGATCAAATCCAGAAGCACCTACAGGGTAAATGAGGGGGGAGGTCCTGTGGTGTGTTTTAGCACCTCAACACCATAGGGTTTTAGATTGTTCCTTGCTTTGGCACACGGGAAAACCCAAAACCACATGGGCTTTAAACCCGCTTTTTGGGGCAAGGGGGCTTCCTCTTTTGTTGGTCCGGATTGTTGTTTTCAAAGTCACTTTGAGACACGCCCGAAATCAACCGGCTGGGCTACTGATCAATATCAGTGGACCATCAACCACGAAAAAGTGCTTGTATTTATGGTACAGCGTTGCCAGCCCCCCCCCCCCTCCCCCGCCATGGTCATGGGTCAGACAAGTACCCCCCCCCCCTGTGGTTGTGGTCCTGTGGTTGGGTTGTGGTGGCTTAGGGTTGGTTTAGAATTGGTTTAGGGTATATTTAGGGTGTATTTAGGGTTAGTTTAGGGTTGGTTTATGTTGATTTAGGGTTGGTTTAGGTTTAGAGGTGTACGGTTTAGGGTTTGGTTTAGAGTACGGTTTAGGGTTTGGTTTAGGGTTAGTTTAGGGTTGGCTTAGGTTAGGGTTTATTGTTTAGGGATTGGTTTAGGGGTTTAGAGGTCTACGGTTTAGGGTTTGGTTTAGGGTGTGTTTAGGGTTGGTCTATGGTTGGTTGCGGTTGGCTTGTCCTGCGGGTGGGGGTGCCGGGGTGTCGGGGTGCGATTCAGGGGGTCGGGGTGGGGTCGGGGGTGGGACGGTAGGTGCCAGGATCCGGGGGCTCGGCGTCTCGGGCCGGGGGGGGGGGAGGGGGGGGTCCTGGGCTGGGGGACCCATACCATATGGGGGGGGGGGGGGTAGCAACACGGAACACGGGACCATTTATTCCCCAAATAGCTGAAAGCTATAGGGGTTCTAACTTCTAATAAAGAGGGGAACGTGATTTGCAAGATTGATGCGCTGGTGCCAGGTGGCGTGCAGTTTGGGGTGCTGGTGTAGGTGCTGGTTGGGGTGCTGTTTGAGGTGATGGCATGAAGTTTGGGGTGCTTGTGCGGGTGCTGTTTTGGGGGGTGAGGGTGCGCGCGCATTTTTGCATCTTGACGGTAGGACGCAGGGGGGAATGCAGTTTGGGGTGCTGGTGCTGATGGTGCTGTGGGACGCAGTTTGTGAGGATTTGAGGTGCTGGTGACGGTGTGGGCGCATTTTGCGATATTGACGCTCGGGTGCTATCGGGCATGCAGGTGACGGTGCAGGCGAATGTTTGCATCTTGACGGTAGGGTGCAAGGGGGCACGCAGCTGAGGTGGTGGTTTGGGATGCTGTTTGGGGCGCTGGTTTTTGCAAGATTGACGGCTGGGTGTCTTGGGGGGTGCTGTTTGGGGTGTCTTCGGGGTTTGGAGGTGCTAGTGCGCAAGCATGCCTGCTATCTGGGGTCTATGCTGGTGTAATTTAAGAGGATGTGTTCAAGTCCTCATCTCCAGCAAACACATGTTTGGGTTTTAAACCCTTTCACCCAATGGAGCTTTTTGACACCTCTTTTGGGGGGCAAATAAAAACTCCCTCGCTGATTTCAAGGTAACGCTTGCTTCATGGTAGACGCCCCTGAATTACTTCCCTGGATTGGCCCCAAATACCACAACACATGGGGATAATTTGGCAGTCTCGCTTGCCACACAGCTTGTAATAACATACAAGGTGGTTTCGGAAACCGCTTTAGCATCGAACAGAAGTCGAACCCCCGTCCACAGCTCTTGCAATTTGAGGTTGCCAGTTTGGCTAGACACTCCGAAACTGGGGACCCGTTTGAGGCCGGTATTGTAAGGGATGTTGGTGAGTCACACTCTCTGTACCCTTAGCAAAGCATGGCCTTTTTCCGGGTCACGTGGCTATGGCCAAGCCACGTCTTAACTGCTCCCCAAAGGACTTGCAAACATTGGGTGGGGTCTTCGTATTTTAACGTTTATGTGAGTGGGATCGCGTCTTCTCCCCGTGCATGCGCTGTCCACACAAACAGTCGATTATCCACTGGTTTACCCAAACGGATGCCAAAAGGAACCGTTCACCAATTGTCTAGCCTTCAGCTACCCTGAACAATCAAGTCATTTGCTCGTGTGAGACGATTCGACAATCCTTCCGGAATCTGTTGGCCGTCAATGAGTCTCCACTCCACCAAACCACCACAGAGGGGCAACCGCTTTCACCCTTTACAGGGTAGTGTGCTATTCTCAGGAAGAAACCGGAAATTCTGTGGGTCCAGTTTCTCCTTCCCAGACACTCCCGATCAATTTAGGTCCCTCAACCAGCTAGATTTTGAGACCCCCAAACACCTCCGGTGTCTAATGGAGGGGTCGGGTCTTCCATTGCAAGGTCCAGGAGCCTCTGGGTCAGTCCTTTTGGGTCCCTCCCCCCCCAAACCCTCCCCCCCTAAACCCGTCGCCTGGGTAGGGAGTGCCGTCCGTGAGCAGCGCGCTGGCTTTGGTGCGGGGCGTTTTTCGCCGCTCGCTGGACACCACCATGACTCCGTTGAACTCCTGCTTCATCTGGACGAAGACCTGCCTGGGTCCCGTGGCCGTTTTGGGGGGCTTCGTGTTTGAGGTGGTACCCCGCTTTTGGTTGGTTCCTTTTGGCGCAAAAGGACACAATCCATTTTGGGGCTACAGGGGTGAGCTGCCTAAGCAGGTCAACCCACAAGCCATTGGGAAAGTCCAGAAAAATTCTTTGCAGATTCACATGGACGCCCCCGTAGCTTTTCGGAACGGTGCAGTGCTGCTCAAAAATACCGCCTCGCTGTGCTTCCAGGCCAAGTGAGTCCTACGTCAAGAAGGTGAAGCCAAGGGAGTCCGAGGCCAAATTCCTGCTTCCTTCAGAGCCCGAGGCAGAAATCTGGCCCTGGGCGAGAAACTTCCAAGCGGCTTTGTCATTTCAAAAGCCAACAGGGGTATCACTCCAAGAGCTACTAATCCGAAGAGGAAGGGGCCCTTAAAAAGAGAGCTTCTGTACTGTGAGGGGTCCTCGTTGTACCAAAACGGAGCTAAGGGCAATCCCCTGCATGGGGATGGGCAAGATATCTGAGGCAGAAGCAGGAAGTTGAGTCTTTCCGGGCGCGGGGCCAAAATGAGCGTCACAAGTTTCGACTCACTTAGTTTCGGATGGCCGGGAAATCCCTGAGCCACGGAAACTTCAAAACCACCTTCTTCCGAAAAGACATGGGATAATTACTTAGCGACTCCGAGCCCCCGGGCGCGTTTCGCATTTTTTCCGGTGCGAATCTGAGTTTCCGGTGTGTTTCCCCCCCGTTTTCTCCGGGCCAATTAACAAATCCTCGACTCCGAGTCCCCGTGGACCTCCGGACCTCTCAACCGCCCAGGCGCAGCTTGTCGCCCGCCAGAAGCTCGCGGCCCGCCGGCTTCGCCGCCGGGTCGCTGAGCGGCAGCTTGGCCAAGTCCGCGCAGCCGATGTCCAGCTCGAAGAAGTCGACTCGGGGGCCGACTCGGGCTGCGGCTGGACTCAGGCCGACTCGGGGTCAGCTGAGCCGTGCTCAAAATGAACACACAGGGCGGCACTCACAGAAAGCCGTGTCATGCTTTTTGTTCCCCTTTTTTCTGGGAAGTCTTGGTTGGTGTGCAGGGGACGCCAACACCGACCCATTTGGAAACCGAGGCGACAGTGGAGTTCGTCTGCTCTATGGCTCTCAACCTTTCGTCACTCAAGGAAGAATACCCAGGGGTTGACACTCTCATTCAAAGAATGGTTGAGCCAATATGGATCTGGATGATGAACATCCTTGAAGTAAATAATGGTGGTAATATAAATCCCCCCCCCATTGTTTTAATGGTGGTAACTGAACCCCAGGGTAAATGAACCCCCCCATCTGTTTTCTTTGTTTAACAACCCGGGTGGATGCCCCAAGCCCCCCCCTCCCCACCCAAAATCCAGCTGGCCATGGCGCAGGTGGGTCCGGAGACCACCGTGGCCCAGTAGGGCGTCTGCCCATCCGCCACCACTTCCGCCACGGAGAGCAACGGCTTTAGCCGCGGCGTGCGCGCGAAGAAGAGCCGGCGCTTGCGGCCCCAGTGCCGCACCGCGTAGACGGTGAGCTCCTCAGGTGACACGGGTTGGGTGGCTTTCCCAGAAGCTCTTCGATCGATTTAGGGCCTTACAACCTGGCTTTGAGACCTATAAAACTGCAGCTTTTGGAGGTCCAGAAAGGGGGAATCGAGGGAATCCAGAAACGTGAGATGAAAGGAAAACATTGAGACGCTAGGTGAACCGTCTTTCAGCACTTGCCTCACATGGAAGGATGATAAAATCGGCTTGGCCATTTGTGGATCCGCCAGCATTACACTGAAATGGGTGCCAAAAGGGGGAAGTAGGACCCATGGGGCTGCTGCGACATGAACCTCCAAAACATGATATGGTGTCCAACTAATTATGGTATATTTGTCAAAACCAGGGCCCCTCCAAATGTTTCTCGGTATCTTGGTTTCCTGTTCAACTTGTCCCCAAAAACGTGCCTAGTTTACGTACACAATCCCATACTGCCAATAAAGCAGCGACAGGCTACGCACAAAGGCAACAACCCTGAGCGGGCCTTTCATCTCCTCCAAAATGGTTAAGCCTTTTGATGCACAAAACAAAAACTGTCAGTTTCCCATAAAGATTGCCTTGCTGGTGAAAGAGCAACATCCTCGGCGGCAGGTCCTGACAAGGTTTATTATTTGCCATCAACAACACATGCATGGGTGGGGGTCAAAACCTAGATACCCTTTTTCGGGGTAACCCCCCCCGTTGTTTGGTTTCAAAACCGTCCAAAGGCTGTCGCAGGGTCAAAACAAGGAGCCTTGGATTTGAGTCGTAATCTCATTTCCAAGCTTACAACTTTAGTCGAAGGACGCTCCTCAACGGAAGCAACGATTGAGCATGAAATCGAAAATTGGAGACCCTCAATATAATGGACATGACATTTTCAGGGGGGGTCATGTCCACCAAACACTTTTGAGGTGGCGCCTATTAATTGGGTGTTTTTAAGAGGCCTGTGGTCTTACTGAATACTGTATACATAACAAGTACATATATAATTCCGAAATATTCTTCAAACAAATTGTAAAAAGTGTTTAAATGTTTCAAACATTTCAAAAGAATATTTTCAATATTCTTTTTAATTCCAATTAATTTAAAAGAATATTTCAAAATATTCATTTTGAATTTACCCTATTTTGAAGAATTTACAAAAATGTTTCCACATATTACTTACTTATTTAATGTTGTGTAAACAAGTCCAGATATATTATTGCATCCTTTTGGTGTCCCGTGTGCCACATTGTCTGAATGCTAGGCGGTGGGCCTAAAGAAAATGCTGAACATACGTTTGCAAGCTGCCCAGTATTCCAATCAGTGAGGCAATGGTTGACCCGACCCTTTGCCCCCCTCTTGTCAGAAACTAATCCGTAGCCTAGTTTGCTTGAAAGCTCTCCTCACCTGAAGCCCTTGCTTTTTCCGAACGCCAGAATCCTAAGTCAGTCTCCACTCGTCCTAGCACGCTTCTGGGCCAGGCTTGGCGATGGAGCAGCTGGCTGAGGCTGCGCCAGCAAGTCCACAGCGCCCAGCGTACTCTCGATGTCCTGCGGCAAAACAATGCTAGAATTAAAGACTATTCTTTGTGTTCCGGCTTGAGACAATAGAATGCATATGCCCCACATTTTCAAACTGACCGTTGATGAAAGTGACAAAGTGCGCGCAACAGCTCAAAAGCAATTCCCCGGCACTCCACCAAAAGGCACACCCTGCCCTGTTTTGATGCGGGCCAGCTGGCCTCCGCGCTTGCCAAGTGTGCATCAGCCCCAGTCTGTCGCCACGACACAGCTGTGAAAGCGCACTGCGTAAGCGCCAGGAGGACGGGCAGCGCCATAGCGTTGCCTGCCAAGTCTTGCATCAAACATTCTGACGGCATCCACGCGGCCGGAGGCCCGTGCCCTGGGCACTCGGTCGAAGACCCCTGTCGCGTGGCCTGAGGCCCTTTCCCTGGCGGCGCTGGCTCGCTGGCCAGAGACCGCAGAAGCTCGTCTTGAAGCTGCCTCAAGAAAGGCAGGGACGGGAATCCTTGATATTTCAAAGCCTCGCGACCTAGCAGGAGCCGGCAGTCCTCGCTCTTGGAAGCCTCGATCCACAGCTGTTGTCTTGGAAGGGCTGTAGGGGCTACGTAAACTTGCCAACTCTCTCACTGGCTTCTAGCTACTTTTCTCTCACTGGCCAACTCTCGTTTTATGATTGAAACTCGTTTTCCATAACAAAGGCCAAGGAACACAAGAGAACATATTCTTAAACGCAGCCTCAGCAGCCGGCCTCCGGCGCGTCGTCGGCAAAAAGCGAGCAGTAGGCCTTGATATTGCGGAAAAGCATGAACTCGGCACACTTGACTTCAAGGAGCTTTAGCCAGACCCTCTCAGACAAGATCAGTCTGCATCCTGGCACATCGATGCTCTCCAAGAGACCAAGGGCAGCCTGCATCTCTTGCGCCTTGGGCGCGCCGGAAGAAAGTTCGCTGCTCAAGGAAAGCGCTGCAGATGCGAGGGTGGTGATCTCAAGCTGCTTCGATTCTTCCAGAAGTCCGTGCTTGTTGGGTGACTCCTCAATCTTCTTCTGGAGCTGGCTTGAGTGGTTCCTCAAAGAAGTCAAAGACTTCCCGCGGCCGTTGGCCGCGGTCGGACAAGTCTTGGTCAAAGCGCAGTGGTGGCTCCAACCTGCGTCGGATGTCATCCAGCTGCTTTGTCACAGCGCCTTTCAGGCGCAGGCCCCGGCCGTCCAGCAGCACTGGTGCGTGAGTAAGGGCTCCAGCTCCAGCGTCGTCGTCTGCCTTGGCTGCCTTAGCATTCTCAGGCTTGGCCTTGCCTTCGCTGCCGGCACCAGCAGCCGTGGTGGCTGGGCCTTTGTCAGCGGGGGTCCCTTTGCCAAGGCCGCCGCCACTGCTTTTCGCAGGTGGAACCTTGCCTTGGGTCGTGGCTGAGGCCTTGGGCTTGGCCTTGCCTTTCGCCGCTTTCCGGCCAACCCCCAAGCGCGCGGCCACCGCAACGTCTGAGTCCGAGCTCGGCTCAGACTTCGCTTCCTCCAGCGCAGCCGGGAGCTTTTTCTGCTGAGCCCGCGCTAGTCTTGTCTGCCACTCTTGGGGCGCTGCCTTGGCTGGCTTGGCCAGCAACAACTGCCAAGATGGCGTCCAAGTCAAGAGCCTGCGGTCCTTTCGCAGCTGCTGCGCCTGAGCGCCTCTCGTTTTGTGCGTCGTTGAACACGGACGCCACGGCCTTCTTTTTGCTGGCCAGGGCCTCCTCTGCAAACTGTGCTCGCCGTCGTGCTCTAAAGTCTCTTGCACGTGGCTTTGCGTCTCGAAGTGATTGACTTTGTATAGTGACCCTTCTTGCCGCTCTGGACGTAGGCCCCCCGCACTGTCTTTCCAAAACACTTGCTCCTCCAGTTTGGCCTCATCCAGCTGACCGTACTCTTTCTCATCCCAGTGCTCCTGGGACACGGAAACCATGTCAGGGGCCTCGAAAGTCACGCCTGAGCTCCGCTGGGACTTCAGCTGCTGCTTCGCCTTCTGCACGCCCTGCTTGTGTGACAGGTCAAGACGAGACTGCCCTGGACTTGAGTTGCGCGTCTTGATCCACCTGTCAAGCTTCGCCAAAAAGTCCTGGTGGTCCACCGCCTTGGATTTGATCTTGTCTGCGTACCTCTTGTGTGAGCCATGCGTGTAGTCCATGCCGAGCATTTTGAACAAGTTACGGCACAGCAAGCACACTCTGCCTTCGGGCACAGAAAACTCCTCGCCCTGCTTGTTGTGCACTCCGCTTCTATACTTCGCCCACGGGCGCTTGCCACCCCAGGAGTCGAAAGGAGTGGCTTCCAGCAAAGGGAAGGCTCCGTGCTGCTGGCAATTGCAAGGCGAGCAGCTGCAGGGCTTGGAAAGACTAAAGCTCAGACTGCGCTGCTTACCGCGCCCTGACCGCACAGACTGCCTTGCCTGGAGCGACTCCGCATCTGCAAACAACTCGCTTCCGAGGTCGTCATCCCTGTCGCCATAGCTAGTCGCGCTTCGCACGCTCACACTGGGCGGCATGGCGCCGGGCCGGACACAAACGACAACTGCACCAGTAAGAGCAACAGTCGCTGCAACTTAGCACAAGGGACGAGACCAATAACAAACGTATGCCGCATTTCCGGCAATAGTGACCACGCCAAACCTGACAGTGCCTGCTGCGGCTCCCCCCCCCCTGACCTTGGGCCTGCAGGCCAGCGGCAAATGGCTACAGTGGAATGCCGCTGCGCGCGCAGATCTGGCAAGGACGCTCCCCGTGCCCCACACATTCTTTATGTCTGGATTTGCTGGAACGTTGAAACGCACGCCGTGCATGGCCGAAGGCCCTAAGGGAAGCCCCGGCGCTCAGCACCAGGCGCGAGGCCGCTAGCTACCTGCGAGAAATGGAGTGGCAAACTAGGAGTGTGCGATGTGTGTGTGTGAAAACAACAATTGAAAACAAACATTTATGAAAACATTGTATGCCCGGAATGATTGAAACTTGTTTAAATTTCTTTTAAGATTATGGGGCAAAAGAAACATTTCGGAAAATATTTTCTCTAACTAAACAATTAGTTTCTCTAACTAAACCCTTAGTTTCTCTAACTAAACCCTTAGTTTCTCTAACTAAACCCTTGGCTTCTCTAACTAAACCCTTAGTTTCTCTAACTAAACCCTTAGTTTCTCTAACTAGACAAATATTTTAATTATTCTTATATTTTTTCTCGAAAGTTATCTGTTTATTTATTGTTTAATAAAACATTCAATGTTGTAAACATACATTAATTATTGCATTCGTTCCGAAGTGATTGAGATTCATTATCCGGCAGCCGTTAAACATGCCAATATACTTGCATTTGGCCAAGAAAGCTGCGCCTGGCTGAAGATCAACTACAATTCGGTCCAGCTCCTCCTCCGATAAGCCAACTGCGAAGGGGCCAAGCCAGGACCTCCAAGGGAGACATGGTGAGATCGCGGGCGGTGCGGGGGGAAGTCGCTTCAGGCGGATGATGCACTCCGCGCGGGTCATGCCCC